CACAGATTTGTGCAATGAGAATTATTAATACTAAACACAAATTGCCTACAGGAAAAAAAACTTAACTGGAGGAATAAATTGTCCAAATGAGCTTTTGACATAAATCTCCTTAAAAAGGCACACAGAGCTAATGTGCAGCCTAAAACAGTTATTTATTGAGTTATTAATGACATGCAACAGGTGCACAGAATGAAGAATGCAGTTTTATAGCTTGCAATGGAAGGTGATCAAGTCAACTTTCAACTAATTTTTATTGTTACCCATGAGTCTACAACAAAACAAGATCTGCATCACTCCTGATGCATGAAAACTCTGTCCAACTTTAACTTTCTGAGATTGTTTGTAAAATCAACTAAAAATGAGTAAAGAGAAATCATTTAACCTGAATCATCTGAATAATGCATTTTCCTTGCAGCAAAATGATGACGTATTTTTCACTGGAAATTACAACCTGCACCAACAAGATTTTTTTTAAAAAAATGCAGTGCAATAAATATATTAAAATCCAGGTGTGCTGCATGTATGTGTGTGGTATTTCACAAGGTTTTGGTCTAGAAAAATCTAAAAATAGTTGGACAACATGTTAAATGTGAGAATATCAGTTTGCCAGTGTAGCAGGATGTCTGGGTAATTTAAGGAAACTGACTACAATCCACAAATTAAACAATTCATATTATAGTTTGTGGATCCATCACCATGATATACACAATGTGAACAACATTAGGATGAAGTATACAATTAATAGCCACTTGGCAATGATCATTTGCTGTCTTAAACTCCTTCCAGTAAAGTACAAAAGTTAAATTGGGCATTTGACTGGCTAAAGATTAATATTTTTTTCAAAAGCCCTTGCAATGCAAAAAATTAAAACGGTGCTCATACTTTGTCAAATATTCATTTTTTTTTATAGAAAATTGCCTCTTTCAAAATGAGTTAATATTAATAAAAGGGCAAATGAGTTTTAAAAAAATTAGCACTTATAACTTATTATATAACATAAACATCAAAAAATACTGTGTTTTACCAGCTGTTATAGCACAGCACACATGACACAAAGACTTAAGAGCATTAATAAATATAATTTAAATGTCCCCTATGATGATGGGAAGAGAGGGGATAATGACAAATGGGAATATATGCTAAATGGTCTAGCAGTAATAAATTATATTGTCATATATACTAATATATATGTATTAAGAAGGATTACACAGAAGAGTACGAGGTTTATTAATACATAATGCTCAACTTTGTAAGTTGAACACATGATGTTAGTACATGATCAATACAGAAATGTGACTAGAGATTTTAAATGTCAAAATAATACGTCTGTGTTTGTCATCGGGATCTTCAGTCTCTTTTATGATCAATTAACTCTGGCACAGTTGTGTTGTGCCTTGCAGCCAGAGTAGTTGTAGCAAAGCCAGAACCAGTTCACCACCACATATAGTTTAAACAGATTTACTTCTTTCTCCCTGTCTTAATTATGATTGTAACCATAATCAATCCCTAAACAACATAGCAATCATATATATTAAATTTTACAACACAAAATATATGACCCATCCATACCAAAAAAAAAAAAAAAAAAAAGACATTATTTATGTGATATTTTAACTTTTAAACCCTTGTTCCATCACATGGAATTTATATGGATTGCCCCAGCCCAAATATGATATGAGATTGGCACAGTGTACCTTTTGCACCTTAAAAATCAAACATTCTGAATGTTGCTTGCATTCATATGGTTATCAAGCTGTGTAGCCATGTTTTCAAGTTCTTCAATATCTCTGTTTGATCGCTCATACTTGTGGGACACCAGCTGTCGGTAAAAATGAATGGCAAATCCGATGAGTAAAACCACCACTGGCACAATCAGAACAGTAGATGCCAGAGCAGCATAATAACTGTACATGCTGAATTTCACCCAGCATAACAGGGCTATTTCTGCAAGAAATAAAAGAATCCCAATACCTGTTGAAAAGGCCCATGCCATCTGAATATAGCAGTTCATCTGATCATGAGGAGATTCTAGCACAGCATTGACATTATGCACATTACTAACTGCCTCAATATTTGGTAGAATACATGTGCTGATGAGCAGGGCCAACATATGAACTGCAACGAGAAGGGTTGTTGTCACACTAAAGGCTATAAGAAGACTCTCTGGAGTACTCTTCTCTAACTGAACTTCCACCATAGCGACCTAAAAAACATATATGCATAATGTCATCTGGTAGTTACTGTCTGACCTAATCACAACTTTAGAAAAAAACCTAGAATATGCACATGTCAAGAATATGTCTAAAACCCATTCCTTTTGTAAATTGGCTTTCTTCACTACATCTACATCCTAGGATAATTACATTTTTCTTTTAAGGAAGTTGCTATAGTCTCAGTGTGAGTGTATAGCCTCCCCTCCATATTAATACTTACCACAGTTGTCAGCACTTCTACTAACACTTGCTCGTGTGTGTGTGTGTGTGTGTGTGTGTGTGTGCGTGCGTGCATGTGAGTGGACATAGTATTCAAGAGTGTTAATGCATGAATTTCTGTGCTACTGGTACACATTTGCATACATATGTAATTGTAAGCATTTAAAAAGCAATGTGAATATTGTGACTGTCCAGGCCTTTCACTTCTGACCGAGAGTGACCACAGCAAAGGTTGGTATTGTATCTTACTCTGGGTATTATATGTTTAAAATATATCTGGCGTACAAGGAAATGAACGAAATTTTTTATTTACATATTTTAAAGGTAAACTGTATGTGTTTAAAAATTTCTAGGTCATATTTTCTGTGTCTACGTATCCTGCAATGCAAAGCTACTAAAATTCCCAATGCACCCCTTAAAAGCTACAAACACCTACAAATTAAATTACTTTACGTCTTTCCAGAATGTACAGACACGGCGTTTCATAAATGACATGCTACTGCTAGTCATTATGATTTAGAACTTTAAGCCATTTAAATTAACATGATATAAAACAGTGAGGGACGAGTCGAGAAATGATTCATTGGAGAAATTTCCATTTTCCACGCAGAAAATTCATTTTTATGGGTAAATCCCGTTTAAGTACCTTTTATCTTACCATTGCAAATCCTGACAATAATGCTGAAGTTCTACTCGCGGCCTTGAGCTTGGCACGACTCAAATACAATCTTCGCCAACTCAGAGCGTGCTTGTTGTGCGAAGAAGACATCTCCTTTATGAACGAACCCACCAGCCAATCTGAATTAATGTTAGTGTTCAGCATAAGCAGTAATTAAGTAATGATTAATAATATATCAATAAATTCATATTCTTTTCTCGCACGGCTCTGTTTACAAGCTTCGACGTGACCGGAAGTACAACCATCATTAGTGGAAAAGTGAGAACGCACCATGACTTGTTGAAAAAACCCTTAAAAACATTCTTCTTTAAATCAACCTTAAATCTGATAATGTTCGTCATTAGAATGCACTGAAGCAAGTATTGAGCAGAAACAAATTACTTAAATTTAATTGAATAGATTCCTTGTTCGAGAGGATTTACCCGCGGTTTCTGTTCATGCATGTCATGTGACCCACATTGACCCTCCCGTGACGTCACTAAGCCATCGTATATTTTGAGGTCACGGAGTGGGAATATTTCTTGATTTCTATAGAAAAGGAATTTTCTATAGTTTCCCCTGATTAAGTGCAACAACCGAAATGACAGAAGAGTTCGAAAGTGGGCGCAAATTGGTTAGTATCTGTGATTTCAAGAACATTAGGGAGACAAACTCCGGGCATCCCTTGTGAATGACAGACGAACGTCCGCCATCTTGTTCGGGCACTTGCTTTTTGGATAGAAAACGTTGTAATCCAGTTTTCTCGTAGTCGAAATATAAATGACCCTTTCTTTTATCTGGAATACCTTCTCTACCTATTGCCTTACTTGTTTCATTATCATGGATGCACTTTTATAGGGTTTTTATCCACCGTAATTCGAATTGGAGCTCCGTGAAGTGTGCCGTACGCAGAAAGTGAGGCGTTTTCTATGGAAATTTACAGAAAGTCGGGAGGATATTTTGTGATTTCTTTCTTATTCTCAAATATTTTGGCTACATCTTACTCAATTTATTTGTAACATTTTATAATGCTGGTTTTAAAGGTAATTTTGGAAACAAAAGCTTCAGATTCAACATTTTGAAGACTTACCCACGATGTACATAGTTTCATTTGAGTGACATAGGCGACGTCAGCATGAGCAGGCGTTGTCGAGATTTTCTCTACAAAAAAACACGCAAGCATGAATATTCTTCAAATAAAACGTTTTCTTAGTAAGGCTATGTAGAGACATTGCATTTGATATTATTATTGGTATTAAGATCATGAAAATGAATATGTTTATGGTAATAAACGAATTGTCTCTAACTCTGAAGAACATAAGGTAGAATGGAGACCGACTTACCGAAAAGGTACTCGGTTTTTTTTTTTCAAAAGCAGTCTTTATGATTTCAGTTAGCCTTTTTATAGAGTTTTTAAAGGTAGAATAATTATTAATTTAGTTTTGCTTATTTATTTTTATTTCAGCATTTAAAAAAAAATCAGGGTGAAGTAAATAATACCATAAATGGATTTATCTATAGCATTGGTTTTCTCGTACACTTTTTAACAAAATAGGATATGGCAATTTCGGTGACGTTTTTGCAATCAGATGTAAAATAAAAAATAAAAGAAGCACAAATCGGCGCCATTCCATGTAAATAAGTCACCATAAGATTGAAATTTAGCATTTTATTAAAAAAACATCGTTTTAATGAATTTTATTTTATTACCCTTTTTTTTTTATTATAATACCTGGTCTGGTTCTCCCAAGTGCATCAAATCACTTAGATATGCGACAATATTTTTAAAGAAAATGAGTTATGAGTGATAGTTCAGTTTGATAGCTATGAAAGTCAGACGTAGTGTACCATAAGTAAACATATTTGATTTGTGAGCGTTAGCAGCCTCGACGTTTGGTGCTGTTGAAATGAACATCGCTCGCTGACTGTACTTTGGTGTAGCATTGTCGTTTTTCTGGCGTAGTGTGGAATGCTCAAATAAGCAGAATGCGTATAATTTTAATTGACTGTTTGCGGAAATGAATGGACAATTTTCTGGGGTTCTGAATTGTGAGTGTATGCTGATTGCGTAAGTGCGTAATAGTTGTGACCTTGTTTTTCAACAGGTGTACTGGTATTCATGTTTGGCGCAAGGTTTCCCGTAGTTAAAATGCGCAAAAGGCCCTACAATTATGCTATACAGTTCGATCCGTTTTCTTTTCAACCTTCAAATTACTCCTGTTAAATGAAGGATTATGTCGCCTAGCTGTAAAAGTTGTTGGTTCTCAACTGACATGTTATTGTCCATTTTTCTCGCTGCAGTTGTATTATCATCGAGTATGTGATTGTTGTGTGGTCAATGAAGTGTTTGCTCCAGTGCGTATGTAGTTGTTTTACTTCTGTATTAATTTCTCTCTTAACATCAAATATTGTCTTTTACTAACATTGGTCGGCGTCAGTTTAAATGACCAACAGTATTGTGTGTTCCCAGTACATATTTTTCACGAGTAAAATAATTATAATACACAAGAAATAAAGATGCATCACAACATACACCGAATTCTTGTTGCAATCTTGCTGATAAGTAAGCTTTATCGCTCATGGCTGTCAGTAACGGGTGTCTACAAACCAGTGAAAAAAATGAAGTTGAGAAAGTCGACATATTACGTAATGAAACTATTGGTTCTGTAAGTCCAAGGTAGGTGGTTTGCAGGAATATGCAATAGATACGCTATGAGGCAATTTTTTATGATTGATCTGGTAGTAGTTTAGGTTTAATAGTTGTAGTCAATAAATTCTACCACACAAGGGTTGTGTGGGGGAGGGGAGGGGGAGTTGCAGAATATACCATCGCTTCACCGTAACATCGCTATTAAGAACCACTAAATACGAAGGAACTGCACAATTTTGATTTATAATAAAACAAAATACTTCGAGTAACAATGGCCGTAATAATTGCCAGTCTGAAGCGTTTTCCAGCAGAGATTTGGAACTGTAACATTTGAAGTGCAAGTGTGCCATAACGCGATTTGATATGAAATTACCTGTCAAATAAAGTTACGTGAAAATTAAGTGTTGGGTATGTCCCTACAAACGTTAAATTTAGCTTTGATTTACGGACGGATTTGAGCTACAAAGGTGAAGGTCCTCTATTCGGGATTTACCCATCAAGATAAACTTTCCTCAAAAAAAATCTTTTTCTATCAGATCACTCGTTGCTTGACCTATCTCTGCAATTGATTTCTTAAAAATTCCATTTTTAGTTTGATGATTGAGTTATTTATGACTGGCCAGTCATTTAGAACGTCATGTCTTCCTATACATTGCAGAAGTAACTATCGGCGTCGAACAATTTTTTGAGAGGCTTTATAGTCTTTTAAGTCTGAATTGGGAGAGATTAGTAGTTTTGCAGGACATGCCAACATAGATAATGTTATTTGGGGAAAGTTTCAAACGCTTACAGTGTACAGTGTATCTTCAATCTACGCATTCGAGCAATGATTTTACTTCGGTGAATGGATCGCATCACAGCTGTTCACAGCCATATGCTGATATTTCTAATTAAACGGATATCTAAAGCCGTCTTGCATTTCAAACGCGCAGATTAAAAAATGGGTAATTTGTTTAAGTTATATGCTTCAATAGTTTTTAAACTAATATATTCATGATAATATTTTTCGTCAGGTTCGGAAATGTGATAACGATTAAGTGGTAACTTGAACAAGAGCTACTTTTTAATTTATTTTCTTTGGTATCCAGTATGTGACCGTTAACACTATTTTACGAGAGAAACTATTTTACATGCGATGAGATGTTCCGTTTTTACTAATGTTTAATTAGAATCGCATTTTCGTTGTTTTAGCGCGCCACTGAACGGAAGAAATACACAGATGAAAGTATAAGTGACGACGAACTTGAAGGAAAGAGGACTTTTGATTTGGAAGACAAACTTACGAGCAGCAAATATGATAACACAAAATTCATCAAAGAAATGAAGGGGGATGGTAAGTATTATGGAGATTTTATTTGTTATGTCTCAATTTTCACAGTTGTGGTTTTTGCAGATTACGTGATTCGTTCTTAGTACATACCCAGTTCATGTAAGTTATTTTGTACATGACGATTTGTATTCAAAATGTAAACGTGTATTTTTCTACTGTATGCACGAAGCATTGCTTAAAGTAAAGAGAAAATACGTTGTTATCGCGTGGAGAATACAGTAATAATGGGTATTCCGTGAGGAGTTGGAAAGCGAGAAACTGTTCAATGCGAGTAATAAAAAAAATGAACCATTACATTTTAACACTATTTTAGTGATTCAAGTTTGATTTTTATGAAATGCTTTTTTATTGAATCGACCAAGGTAATAGATCAGACCCTTTATTCGACTCCGCTGAGATCTGTTGATATAATTCCGAAGCGTGCACGTCTTCTTTTGGATTAGTACATGTATATTACTTTTCGCTTTGATGGACCTATGTACAATACATGTATTTTAGTCTGAAATTGTTGTATTGTACAATATATTACACAGGATGTTTGCGGATGAAATCTGTTGATAATCGTGCATGGCCTATCATTATCAGCAAATGTGGATAGAAGTGCTGCATTAGTAATACAGGTGCCGATAATACCTTGTTCATATGTACCGGTATATGGGGTGCATATGGGCCTGCCGAAATTTCGATTGTAATATCGATTTTTACCTTATCTCAACAAGAACGACTTGTTTATGATACGAATATTGGAATTTTTATTGTTGTCTTCTGTCGGATATTATGTCTGGCATGAAATACACGGAAGAGCTTCTACGCGAGCACGATGTAAATGGGTTGCATCTGCTGTGACCTACTTTCTCCGCACTAGCACATAAAATCATCTTGCAAGTTTTGGTGATATGTCTATTGTTTTTGATGAAGATACGACCAAAAATCTTAAACTGAAACTATCTTAACGAAAAGACAGTTCGACAGTTCGTGATGGAGACGAACAGCCGCAACAAACCAACAGAGCTCACTTCTCAAATTATGTCGGTGTTATGTGCTTGTCGCTCCCTTGATATTTTGAAATCAATAAATCTTTGTCTGCTTTGTAGGCGTGGTTGTAAGATTTAATGTGTTCTTGTTAACGTAAAATATGCGGCGCTAAAATTGAAATCGGTGCAGTGTTCTGTACAAGTGCGGAAGTAAATGACAGCAACATGCAATTATTTTTGTTGCAATTTTTACATAAATTTACTTTGATTTGCCAAAACTGAAAAATCGAAGTAAGGTGCTAGATTGTTTGTATAACTATTTATATCATTTTTAGAAATCAGTCTTAAGTACATCCAAGAGCATGGATTGACTGAACCAATTCTTGTGAAGGAGAAGACAGGGTTAGGCATGAGGTGAGAAAAATTGCTGTAATTTTTATCTATCTTTGAATTTTTATTTACAAACTAGGTATTTGAGAAAGCAGTAAGAACAGTTATTTGATTAAAATATTTTATTTGGATGTTTAAATTCATTGAAAGTCACATTTACTTTTGTACTTAGTGATGGTAGGATGTTACACAGATTTGAATTACAGCCTAGTGTACTTTATGTTAAAGGTTACCAAGTAATAATTTTCAAGTCAGTGATGTGAAGCAGTGTGTTGGTAAGTGCAAGGGACTTTGTATCATTTGATTCAAGGTCTGTTTTTTTTTTTTTTTTTTTTAGCTAAACTTAAATGATAAGTGTACATATATACAAACATGTTGATAAAATTAAAATGGATATATTTGGAACCCAAAAACTTACAGCAGTGCTACTAATCCAGTATTTAGAACTTGTCTAATATTTACTGGGCGTGAATCAGGGTCGGATCCAGAGATATTTTCTAAAAGTCTTCCAAATTATCTTTGTTGATCAATCCTCCATTTCTGACCGTCTTCCAATAGAAAAAATTAAATACCCGTCAATGTAAAATTGAAAATCTGACCATCTTCCGGAAGACCAAGAAGACGGCCTCAATCCACCTCTGTGAATGAGATTAAATTATTTGCATCATTAAACAGTTAATGCTATTCATTTCAAATATTTTTGTGTCAAACTGCACTGTCATGTTTTCATCTGTCTGTGCTCTCCTGTTTTTAGGCAGCCGTAGAATGGTGGATGTGATGGATGTGAACACCCAGAAAGGATTTGAAATGTCCATGAAAGAATGGGTCAAATACTATGAAACCAAGGAGCGAGACCGCCTGCTGAATGTCATCAGCCTTGAGTTCAGTCACACTAGACTGGAGAACTATGTAGAGTGTCCAGAAGTGGTATGCACTACAGAGGCTGTTTTTCTATGCAGAAAAAATACCACTCCCATTTATCATAATTTAAAATCCTTTTTGTTCTTGATTTCAGTAAATGATTGTGTTGTATATAAAATGTGTAACATAAGTATAAAGTACCTGGCATCATTTACAGGTACAGTATACTGTATTATAGCTTCATCATTTATTAGATAATTAGGCAGTATTTTACTGTAATATAAATGATATAATATATTATCTTAAGATTTCCTTTATAATTGCCATAGCTAAATGGCCTTGTATTGTAAAATAGGTAAGGGAATTAGACTGGATAAACTGTGTGTGGCCTAGACACCTGAAGATATGCCAAACAGAGAGCACTAATGTGCTGAGTAACATGAAGTACCCCAAAGTACAGAAGTAAGTACAGTGCACTGCAAGCTCACACTGTATTGTGTTTAATAAAAATTTAATTTTTTAGATTAAAAATATTGAATGCTTTTTGGCCATTAAAAAAATCCTAACAAGTTATAAAGAAGAATTTTAGAATAGTGAAGGAGAAAATATTAGGAGATGTGTATAAAACTGACGGAAAATTTTTCAAAAAGATATAAGATCATTTTAAGACCTGATATATAAGTCCATAATCTGAACTTTTTTTTTGATTAAAGGTACTGCTTGATGAGTGTCAAAAGCTGCTACACAGATTTCCACATTGACTTTGGAGGGACATCAGTGTGGTACCACATATTGCATGGCTCAAAGGTAAAGCCAGGGTTACAGTGAGGGGAAATTTGGGGAAGCAACAGCAAAAGTATATAAGGCAGATAAATGACTTCAAAATTTATAGCTATGCCTAGGGGCAGGCATGTCAATTTTAATGTTGATTTGAATTTCATTTCTCCTTCTATTGCCTGTATGTGAATAGAAGGAAATGAATCGTATGCAGTGTTGGATGTATATAGTATTTATAACCATAATATTTTACCTAGATATCTTTCAGAATAAACTGCATAAGGTGATAGGGGCTTTTCAACAATTTAATGCAACAATTATGTACATTATCAATAACTAATATTGAAACTGAGCAATCCCTTTGCTTAAAATGGTTAGGTGTTCTGGTTGATCCCTCCCACAGAGAGAAATGTTTTGCTGTATGAGAACTGGACACTGTCTGGTAAACAGGGGGACATGTTCTTTGCTGACCAGGTGGACAAGTGCCAGAGGATCAAACTGGAAGCTGGATATACATTTTTTATACCAGCAGGTAAAGCACTGTACTTTTTCTAGCTCTAGTATATTTTTAATATACTAGTACTAGAAATACTAAAAAAAAAGACTTGGATGTTATTATATAAACAAGTTTCATAACAGTGATGGAATTAAGAATAGAGTTTTTAAATTAAAAAAAATTTGCATGACAAGTATTCTTGCATGGCAGCACATGTATATATAAGACTTTTTTTCATGGTGATATACTGTTGAATATAGTTGAATCTTCATTGTTACTGTTTTCCTACACTTATCAAATTCCAGGTTGGATCCATGCAGTGTACACTCCTGATGACTCTCTGGTGTTTGGTGGCAATTTCATCCACAGTTACAATATCCCTATGCAGCTCAGGTGTATTGAAGTAGAAGACAGGGTTCATGTAAGATATTCTTTCTTTTGTGTTATGATGAGTTGATTCAGTCATTTTATCAGGAAAGCTGGTAGTATTTATATCTTTTGATGCCTGTGTATGTAGATCTTGACTTAGGAAAAACATATTAGTTTGAAATGAAAACTTAAGCATGATATCAAATGTCAGTTTAGATCTAGATTGCTAGTCCTTGCTATATTTTCCTGAGAAGAAAATGTGAAGGTGAAAATTGTTCTATTTTATTACAGGTACCAGGCAAGTTCAGATACCCTTTCTTCAATGAAATGTGCTGGTATGCTTTGGAGAGGTATGTCCACTGTGTGACGGGGAAAACATATTTAACATTTAAGGATGAGGCTGACGAAGAAAAGAAGACAAAAAGGAGTGCCACATCATCTCCTGAAAGAGAGAAGTCTGTGGAGAAAGAAGAAAAGAAAGCCACACCCCTGGCAAGTGAAAGCAGTATCAGAGCATCTCATTCTAAACAGGAACAGCATCAGAATGAAGACAGTGTTATTTCTGCCCCAAATAGTCCTGTAATGAGTGAACACAATTACATACAGAGTAGTGTTGCCACACCCCCAAAGTCTCCCAGGAAGACGTCCAGCCCAGCCTCTGTCTCAGGCTCAGTTGATATTAATTTAAAATCAGCTGTAGTTATATTAAAAGATGCAATGGCAGAAAACAAGAGTGTTAAGACATTATCTGGAACTCAAACTCCCAGGGAGTCACCGAAACCTGATGCAAATGGCAAAGATACAGCCCCAGAGAGGAAAGGTACACCAACCAGCTTAAAGGAGTCACCTGAGTCTGTGTCTTCACAGAAGGATGGAGAGTCAGGTACAGTGTGTTAGCAGCATCTATTTGTGAAGTAGGGAAGAGTGCATGGATATTCTTGCTAGATTTAGCTTAGATTTATTTGTCATAAGTCAGTGCATGAAACTCTAAGACATTATTAAAGTGGGGCCAATTATATTGGTATTCAAAGATTGCACATGTACCAGTGCAAGTACTGTTTTTGTATTATGAAGAAGAATAAATAATGAAAAATAACTGTTTTGCCACTTTCAACTGACAAAACCAATATTTCTAAAGAAGGAAAAGATGAGGTGAAAGCACTAATCTTCTTATATTTTGAGGGAAATGATATGACAGATGAAAAGAAGTTCAGTGTAATGGCCCCAAATTGTTACATTTTTTTGAAATAAAATTTTTTTCATATATGTATTTTAGAGAAGAAATGTGTGAAGCAGATTCACTTTACCCAGCTAGAGAAAGAAGGTTTGAAGCTTCTTATTGAGTACATAGAGAAGTTACCTCACAGCAAACGTTGTGTTCCAAAGGACATGTCAGATCCAAATGGTGTGATCAGTGCAGCTCAAGTAAGTAGTACTAGTTGAAGGTAAAGTAGACAGATGATTTTGCAGTTGGTTAGCTTTTCCTAGTCTGTGTAAGATGTCGATTTGTCATGATTGCAAATTTAAACCTGGATTAGCTGTAAAAAAACAATCAAAATTAAATGAAAAGAATTGGCAATGTTTAGATTAACATTTATTACTGTAACAATGTATTGATACATATGTTAAGTATTCAGAAGTTAATGTATTCAGAATTTATGCTTATATATGAATTTATTTGTATATTGATTATATGGGTTTGCATTGTGTATAAAGACTAATATTTTTATATATTTTAACAGAAAATGCTCTCAGAACATCTTAATGATGACCAGGCACAGGCTATTACGGGTGAATTAATACTCAAGTGGCCTGAAAGTGCAAAGGTGAGACTAAAACTTAAAAAGTAAATTAATAAATATTTAGATAAATGAATAAATAAATAGATAAATAAGCAGATAATGAAAAAAATATTGCGATATCAAATAGCCATGTGTATTCTTTATAGAAATATAACTCCATAGACCCAGCTGATTGCACATACTCATGAGGGGACCAAAATCTTTCCTAGCCTCTAGTTAAAGTCTGTGACCTGCCACTACTACAGAGGTTTTGTTATTGATTTTGCTGTATCCAGGTCATAGATTAGCATCACTTTTACATATACAGGGACTAACAGAGTGGTTCCAACTCTTGTTATTAAATATTAATGTTACTCCCACATACCATATACCAGTAGTTATGCTTATAGAGCACAACCTACTGGTTATAAGTATTATGCATGCTTTTTAAATCATTTATGCTGTTATTTTTTACAGTATAAGAAGCTCCTTAAAGTTCCACGGCTTGGAGGTCCAAAGACACCTAAAATTCATGTATTAAAGAAAAGCGAGGCCAGTAACATCCGACGTCGTAGAACCAGATGCAAGAGGTGTGAGCCATGTACTCGTGATGACTGCCGTGAATGCCACTTCTGTAAAGACATGCGAAAATATGGAGGACCTGGACGCATGAAACAGACTTGTGTTAGCAGGCAGTGCATGGCAGTAAGTTGAGCAAGTGAATAGAAATATTGACAAGGGTATTTTATGAATGTTCTGCCAGAAATATATTGCAAACTGCTTTATGCTTAAGTATGAAGTATTATTATAAGAGCAGGATAATTTTGATTTTTTCTCTAATTCATATTTTGCAACTAAGCAAATGTGTTTTTATGTTTTTAGGTTCTCCTAGGCTAGTGATTACCTGTTTGGTTTCTCCTAAATCTGATTTGATGTTCACAGAAATGATACATTATTTTTTACTCACTTACATAAATGTTGTTTAAGTGGTTGCACTGACTGTCCTGATCACCCAACTCAGGGTTAACAGGGTGTGATAGTGTGTGTGTGTGTCTTTAGCCAATAAGTACAAAGGGGTATCTTTGTCTGATAAAGTGAACCTTTTTAGACACCTTTAGTTTATGCCACATAAAAAAAAGCACAGCAGACCCTAGATTAATTTTTGTTTCAGAACAGACCTTTTACTGCCAAAAGAATGATTCTGTGTGTGTGTGTGTGTGTGTGTGTGTGTGTGTAGAGGGATGATAAGTAAAGAAACATTTTCAAAAACTGATGATAGAAGTGGTAACACAAGCTTGGATATATTGTATATTTTATTGGTTGAAGCAAAATCCATGCCATACTTATGAAATAATAACTCACATCTTCAATTCAGCCAATTCTGCCTCACACATCCACTTGCATGATATGTGGGAAAGACGAGCGCCTGAAGATGGAAGGCCAGGATGAGACCACCACCTCACTGATGGAATGTGGAATATGCTGGGAAATTGTCCACCCTACATGCCTGAGGCTCAAGGAAGAGAGCCTGGCTAGTGAAGGGGTGGTCAATGAAGACCTGCCCAATAGCTGGGAGTGCCCCAAATGCTGTGATGGTGGGAAGCAGGGATTGATCAGAGTATGTCAGAAATAAAGAGAGACTTCTTTTGTGAGGGGCAGTGGCTGTACATGTCATAATGTTTTATATAATATTTTACCTGAAGGATTTTTTTTTTTGCCATCTGTCTTTCATTGATTGACCTATGACACATTGGTAACAAAATTGTTTTATGAATTATCTTATAAACTTCCACAAGTTCTAAGTGTGTGTGTTCATGTACAGTTTATGTGAAATACATTGCATAAATGTTAATATATAATAATATGTAATACTGATAGTTTAATCTATTGGTGATTCAATTATTATTTTAGCAATATAAATTGATCAGTAATAATTAAATTTCAGCCCCGAATTCTGAAAGGTGGCCTCAAAAGAGAAAGTCGAGCACCTTCCCGTGAAGAAGATGGGCAGGAAGAAGGAGAGACTTCTATTAAACAAGAAACAATGGAGGAAGGAGATGAAACTGCTTCACCAGTGCCTATTTCCAATACAGATCTAGACAAGCCAGCAGCTGTGACAGAAACCCAAGTGAAAACAAGATCCATGTCACCTCAGAAAAAAATTAGACTGACTAAAGACTCAGAAAAAGACTCACCAACACAACAAAAGAAAAGTCCAGGAAGTGATAAACCTGAGACTCAGAAAGACTTGGCTAAGCAAAAGAAGAAAAGTCATGTAAATGAAAAGGGTGATGCCGAGAAAGACAAAGACCTCTCAAGACGGCAAAGGAAAAGTCCTGTGAATGGAAAGGGTGATGTTCAACAGAAAAAAAGCCCTACAACCCAAAAGACAGACACTCCGGAAAGTAAAAGGACCAGGAGACTTTCACCATCTTTTGATAGAAGCAGTAGATCCTGTGATGTACCAAGACGAATTGCTCAGAAAGATGAAAGGAGATCACAACGAAAAGATAGTCAAGACAATGAAGAAGAGAAACTTGTCACTAGGGAAGGAAGAAAGAGGAAAGAAAATACCAGATTGAATGAGATGGCACCTAAAAAACGGGTAAGGTTAAAGGAAATAACATACACCCTTTTTCCGTCTGGACCATGAAGAATTTATTTTAGACATTTGTTATAGCATTTTATGAACATTTACCTATCAAACGTACTACAATCTATAACTTAGACTAGCATTGTCAGAATAATGTGTGATGACCTAATTTAGCTTTAACAGGTTCACATATTAAATAGTGTGCGTGTGTATGTGTGTTTGCACTCACAATGATTTACACTACTGATTGCTTAATGCACAGTTTTTTATTTGCATTTCAGATGAGAGAGACCAGTCCTTTGAAAAGCAAGACTTCACCTAGTGTTCTGAAATCAACACCAACCTCCACCTCTCCAACAGTAACAAGGAAGAGGTCACAGAGAGAAATAGTAAGGCCCAGCAGATATCTTAGATAATTTCTAAGTACCTTGTCTCAGTAACATTTCAAGCTGGATTATCAGATTACTTTAAACATTTTTAACAAAGTTAACTTTAGTTGACGTCTGATGCATGTGGTGTATGTTTGTAATTGGTAGCACTGCAGTATTCACAATGAAAAAGGACATGGTGGTTAAAGGTTTACTTGGCTCTTGTTGTTATTTTGGTGGAACAGTGCTTGGTTTTAATTTTGAAAAGCAAAACTGGCCATGTGTCATGTGGCTGTGAGAAGAGCCAGCATACAAGAGCTTGAGACAGTGTAAGGTCCTTTTCACATTCAGTGGTACACTTTTCTGTTTTTAGTGGTCTTAGCATGAAATTATGCTACAGGGTTTTATTCCCTTATGTAAGATCGCTTCCAACTGTTTGTACCAATCAATATTAATCTGGTCAACTTGCAGTGTCAAAGGACCTATAACTAGGTTATTAAGTTGTAAATCTCTAACAGTGGTGCAAAGCAGAAAAGTATACTGCATGATGTGATAAGGGCCTGAATAAAGTTATATTTTTTTAGTCTTAGCTTTCTTAAGTTTTAGAGTATTAGTCCACATGAGAAAGTTGATTGAATATTTCTTGTAAATAGTATTTATCTTAAAGTTGGTCTTAGAATTATGCTTAACTTTTATCTTTGACATGTATTTTATTTTTCATTTGATGTTTGGTGAAATAAAGTTGCAGTGTTGTAAATAAATATGTTTCCTGTGCTTTGATAAAATGAGAGGTTTAGAAGTACTGGTAACAAGAAAAAAAATTCTAATTGCATTATAATTTTATATTGGGCAAAATTTTTTATTGTTCCTTGAAAATTTGATTTTAAACTAATTAGCATACATAAATAATTTAGCTTTCTTTTATATGACTAAATGGGCTTACACATACCGCCTAGATTTTAGGGCTCTAAAACCCGCCAATATCCAAATTTTAAAACATTGTTTTGGTCAACTTGTAAAAAATAATAGCTTTGAGTAGTACATCTGACCTTCTGATCCAAGGAAACGTTTGCAAAGATTTTTGAAAGATGAAATGTCACTGCAAATAAAATGGAAATGATCACCAGATTTATGAATGAATATCAGATAAATGGTTGTGCACAGAAAAATAATTGCCATTTGCCATTATTTATTCTTATATAGTCAACAAATTATAGTTTGTATAAAAAATGACAGTTTAGTTGAAATCTTGCAACATTGCAACTACCTTTCACAAATTTTGAATTTTTAAATGTTAAAGTAGACATTGTGACAAGTATTTGTTCCACTGGAATCATTTAATATCATTATTCAGATTTTCATTGACATTTGACTTAAACTTGAGAACTCCACGTTGTAAAGAGTTGGCATCAATATCTTATTTTCACTTAAAGTGTTTTTTCAAAATTGAGTTTTATCATGGAGCCTTGTGAAAGGCATAATTAACTCAAGGAGGTTATGTTTTCACCTCTGTCGGTCTGTTTGTTTGTTCGCCAACAGCCCAGCTCATTAGTTATGGATGGATTTTGATGAACTTTTTGGGATAGGTCAGAAATCTGCTAACTCAAAAGTGATAAGACTTTTGTGATAACCCATTAATTAATTCATGGTTATAATTATTAGTCAATTATTTGACCTGGCAGAATTCTGCATTCTCTCGATGCTTTTATAGTTGCATATGTGAACTACACAGTGTATATTTATTTTCTTATGGCTCAAAATAAGTTTTGTTGCTTGTTAATTTGGAGATTTCAAAGGTCAAAAACAAAACATGCACATTGTAAATAGATTGTTAGCTATGTTTGATTTGGTATGGTTTAAGGATATTGTGACCCTTTATTATCATCCAGATATGGAAAATGATTTTTTTCCTGCATCTGATTATTCAATAATGCATCTCTCTTTGTGCTGATTTAAAACATTGAAAAAACCCTTATTGCAATGTGTAAGCATAGGCAACTCAAAGCTGTAAACATCAATTTAACACCTTTCTATTTTGAGCTGAAATAGCAATCGGTATGGGTATGGGGCGTAACTTCATATCCCTGAACAAGATTTCATCACGAAAATTAGCAGAGTTGACCAGGAGTCTAAGGGCTACAATCCCGTGCTGTTATTTTGGTTTAAATGTTTTTGTTATGGAGTAATGAGCCCCCAACTACAGATTTTCATTAAACAAAGGCATTATTTTGCTCTATCAACAATAAAATCTGAATTGAGACTTTTTAGAAAAATCACTGGCAGTGTTTTGGAGTACTAAATGGTGTCATTAAATCGGCGTTGAAACTGTGAGCGTGGGTGCTCAAGTAAAAGAGAAATTTGAAAAACCAATTTTTTACCTAAAAATCGCAATTATGACATAACTCATAAGATGACATGTGTAATTATTAATTAATTTAGTCACTGAACACTAAAGAATGCATGTATGGCAGTAAATAAGGTGAAGGTGAAGGGTACAATATCCTTAAGCAGTGCCCTTTTTAACACCAAAATTAGATGCTATGTTTGTAGGTATGGGAACCGTTTTGTTCCCATTGAGCATTTGAGTGGTTGCCTTAACGTTTCTTATGGATATGATCTTCCTTTTAAATGAAAATAATTAATCAGTTTACATCTTAACATTCTTTCTAATTAATTAATTAGTTTTAATTCTTGCTGAAGGTTATTGAAAGTGTTAAAACAAACAAGATGTGTACACAATATACCTCAGCTGTAGGAATAAACCCTTTTTTATTTTGCATGCACTCTCATTTGATGTGTTGCTTCCTGCTTGGTGACATAATCCTGATCAGGATATGTTTCTCAATTTTCAGGCTGCAAATGATAAGAAACATGAACAGCAAAATGCAACAGATGAAAGTGAAGAAGAAGAAGAAGAAAGCCAACAGATGTTGGACACACAGACAACTAGAGGACGGTATGATAAAAATGTTGGAAAAACAAGTGGAATCATGGGAACAAGAGGTTTGAAAAACGGGTCCAAACCTGCAAGTGCAAGTCTGTCTAAAGACCCCAAATTGAAGGTCCTTAAAGTCATGGTCCAACGTTATGTTGTAAGAAATGCATCTCTTCCTTTACTGAACAATGTGTTAACCCAGAATGGCACCAGTCATGTTCTAGATAAAGATTTATGGTTGAAAGTATTCCTGTACCTGAAACCAAAGGACTTGTGTGCCTGTATGTTGGTGTGCAAAGCCTGGAATTGCTGGTGCTGTAGTTCCACATTGTGGACTAGTATTGACCTAAATGGTGTCAAGATCAGGCAGGTGCACCTTCAAGGCATTGTCCGCAGACAACCAAACAAACTCAACCTCGGCTGGACCAATGTAAACAGAAGACAACTTTTTTGGCTTATTGGACGACTGCCTCATCTGAAGTCGCTCAGTCTTGGAGGAAACTCTTGGTCTGCTGTCTCTGCCCTCTGCTCCTCACAATGTCCTTATTTGGAAGAGCTTGATCTTCAGTGGACAGAGGGCTTGAAAGATGGCTGTCTACAAGATCTTCTGTCTCCTGTTGCAACCATCCGACCAGGTGTCAACGACAAGCAAAATCACCTTTTTGGTGTCACAAAGTTTTCCCTTGTTGGGACTGACATCTCTGACAATGCTGTGAAAGTCTTGCTGAAGCACATGCCAAGGCTGAGTGAGCTGGATCTCAGTCTGTGTGTCAGACTTACAGATGAAGCCATCATGCACATCACGGCCCAAGCCTCCCCAGTTCGGGCACACCTTGTGTCCCTGCGGATGTCCAGCTGCCCCAAATTGACCAGTGAGGCTTTAAACTCCTTGACCTTTTGCCCAGAAGTGAGGTGCCTTGATTTCAGTGATTGTAAGGGAATCTCCAATGTTGCCCTGAAGAAATTTGCTGCTCTGTATTCACATAGAGCTTTACAAGTCACTCAGGAGAAAGTGGTGATGGAAAACAAGTGAATGAAAAAACATCTATAGACATATTAAACATATTATTTAATATGGACAGGGGAAAAACAAAAACAGTTGTATAATTTATGAATAGGGTTCATGAAAAACTAGTATCGGAACAATCTAGCCATTATTTTTATTTTTTTTCATTTTGAGTCCTCTGTTGACCAGAATGAGATTGGCAGGTAGGCTCCAGGGAGTGAGAGAAACCAATTTGTTCCGTCTTCCTTAGAAACAAAAGACATCTTTTCCGAAATTTTTGGGTAATTGCAACATGTGAGCCTGTATAATTATTCTTGTTTGTATGTTTGTGCATGCTTGTAGTCCTTAGTATGATAGTACAGAGTTATGAAATAAAAGTGGTTAAAATGTAGAAGGAAATAATTGGTGAAACAAAGCAGATGCATGAGGTATGTGTCTGCTGTCTTTATTTTTGGTTTTCATTATGAATGATTTCAATCTTGAATGTGGTAATAGAAATTGTACTACAAAAATTTGACACTTCTTTGTTCATTAATTTCAGTTAATTGTGTAATCTAGGTGACTATAAATGAAACTTTGGCATGCATATACCAGTATTATGATTAATGTTTTTCAATATAGTTAAATGATAAGTATCTCATAACACTTTGTTAAAAAAGTTATTGTTTTATTTAATTTGAAAGTAAAAACTAAAGATGGATATAAATAATTGAAAATATTTTTGAAGATGTTTTTGTGATATCTAAATGCTGGTCTCAAACCCATATTTTTTCACTATTTCAGCCCAAATCTGTAAGTTAGTTCTGTTTGGACTTCAAATTTGAGGTGAACCATTTTCATAAATTGGAAGACACTCCTTACTATAAATAGTTGATCTGTATTTTAAACGGTCTTTTACCACTTCATTTCTGTACTAATTCATAATTATTCAGGAGGGATAGGAGCAAAATAGTACGCATGTTTGCCCTCCACCCATATAAAAATCTCCAGCCTGCTGGAGCAGATGTACAGTGGTTTTGAAATTGTGCAAACATTCTTTTTAGTTGCGTATATACACTGGAACAAGGGCAAGGGTGTATATATGTCTGTTAATAAACGGTATGTATTTGTTCTTCCTGGTTTGTAGGCAACCTTTTGCTAATGTATCCTGGTGAATCCAGGAGCGTTTGCAATTTTGGTGGGATTTTTATTTATTTATTTATTTATTTATTTATTATTATCTTTTTTTTTGTAATTGGGTGTCGTTTCATTTTGTAAGTGAAAAAATGAATAGATGTCGCTCTTTTAGTACAATGTCAAAACTAATAAATTGTTTTTCAAATCAATTCTTCAAAATAAATCACATGGAGTTGTTGAAAAACCATGCAGAACTCAATCAAAGGACGAAGGCTTGTCCTGTTGTAACCAATAAAGATAAAATAGACCTTTTATATAATGTTTGATAAGAAATAAGGACAGTCTTCTCAGACGTGAGTCTACGTTGGAAGATTTTTTTTAGGCACCAAGTTTGAATTTGAAAAATCATTTTAAAAATCCCAAACATTAAATTCAATTTTATTTGAACAGAATATATTTTGTTTTCTAAAGTTTCTTAGAGTATTACATATTTTGAACAAAAGTTAAGTGGGCAAAAATATGCAGCCCAAACAACCAAAAGACTATCCCAAAACAATTTCAGTTAAAAGTGCGATTTTGCTGTTTGAATTTATATGATTAATATAAACCTAGCATGTTGAATCCTTTTTCACTGGTGAACACAAGGCCTACGTCATTAATAATAATGTGCTTCCTATATCTTCGGTGGTGAGGGTGAGCCTACTGGTGTTCCCTGAATTTATAATTTGGTGTTGGTTTTTTTTTTTTTTTTTTGGTTACAAGTAAAAAAGATGTTCCTTTACCACTGATTTAAATTAATTACTGATGTTTAATTGCATATATCATTAGTTGTGTTGCTTTAATATTAGCTAAAATGACTTACAGCTATTGTTATGGCAAATTTGCTTTATTTTCAAACAAATGTTGTTATCGTTTTTATGAGCCAGGATCACTCTTGTTTTACTAGAATCATTTGATGGATTTTTTTTGTTAATTGCCTTGAGAAAATGGAGGTAGTTATGAGACAAATTTGTGAGATTCATAGATTGTCAGTCAAGTTTTCTTGGCATTACGCCAGTTTATTTTGGTTCATATCTGATCAGTTATCTACTGATACTTTTTCATTTTAGAAATTAGAGTAGAAGACTGTTTTTGTAGCAAACTAGTTAATTTTAGACAGTATAAAATCTGTATTGTTTTAGCCTCAAAAAGTTGTAGATTTATTAGAATTTGTTTAAAAGAAAAACTGACCAAAAGGTGCTGATTTGCAAATAGACATTCCTATTTTTCTAATGTTCATAGGTTTGGATGGTTAATTACCGGGTTATATATATCATATAGCAACTGATTAAAACCGAGTAGCTGTCTTAAGCTGCAAGTTAACGTTGGCAGAGGTTCTGTTCTCATTGCTATTTTATTCTTTAAGTGTAAAACGTTTTAAGTTTTAAGTTTCCAAGAACAGACACTTGCATGCAATACATGTACCTCAATTTAAGCCCGAAGCGCATAGCTCTGACCCCGAGCTTGGAGAGATCACATTGGGACGAGTGCCCCAAAAAACCTGTGTGCTGATTAAAAATGAGAACAGCTCAACTGTAAACGTGATGTATCTGATTACATGTATTATGTTGAGTTTCGGAAATAAAACTTTGTCTCCTTTGATTTAAAGACTCCTCGATTTTGATTATCTCTTGCTTTAATGCTCAACGTGTCAACCCAAAACTGATCAACTTGATTTTTCCCGAGTTTACATTTAGGTTTTAACGTTTAAAAGAGTTTTTAAGCATAAGACTAAAGATTACGTATTGTACCTTTCCCGTCTGTTTGTTAATTTGGGTCTTGATTCCAAATTGAAATTTGCAATAAGAATATCCGTAGAATAATGAGTCTTGAAATCAAAGGGGAAATAAACGAGTACTGAACCATTTCTGTTTGCTTCCGTTTCTCTGTTACATTCAATCTTTTGAAAGAAGCGGCATTATATTTCTCTCGACAGTTTGAGTTTTTAAAATGTTACGACGTAATATTTGAAAGAAGAGTTTGAATTTGAAGTCTTTCTGACAGTTGTTTAAGTTGAATTCTTCGTGAATTTGAAGTCTTTCTGACAGCTTTTTAGGTTGCGTCGAGCGGGTAAGAAGTTTCTTTTTAGTGGGAGGGGGGATTAACCGTTAAAAAAAGAAAACTTTTACGCTACATGAAATCATTGAAGCTCGCATTTTCGCGTTACAGCTTTTGTCCCCGTCACGTAACAAAAAGATGAACAAAAATTGGAAAAGATTGACAAAAATTAAACATCCAAGTAATCTGCTATGTGCATATATATTTTTCTAAACCCAGCTCAGTTTTGAATGTAGAACGGAGGATGATATTACTATTAAAATAAATAAATACATAAATAAATAAATACATAAATAAAAAAAATATTAACCTTTCATTCCTCTGAGATGTGCAGTGTTGGTCACGTTAAATGTATTAAACTTCTCTTTTATCTGATTTGCTGGTATAATGAAGCAGGAAAGAGAGGTATATCGATAAAGCAGAATAATGATTTAAGTAATGTCCTTATGATATTTTTGCCTGATAGGTTTTTCTAATATTTTTACATGCATAGTTGACACTATTATATCAATATCAAGATTTTAAGAATTATAGGTACCCATGCTAGTTTAGTTGCTATGTTGATTTTGACTTCAATTACTATAGAAACCTATGGGAAATTAAAGTGTTTTGGCATATATTTTCAGTGTTCTTTACAGATAAAGTGCGTTCATAATCCATATCTCCTGCACATGGTCTTCAGTACGTATGGCAGACAAACATGAAAAAAATTGACAAGTAAACCTACCCATGGAAATTTTGTTGCTATGCGAACTTGTTATAGGATAAAAGTGTCTTTATTCATTTTCTTGGTTCATTTTTGCAGGTAAACTGTTTTCATCGACTAAACTCACCACGCTAGGCCCTCATTATATAGCAAAATTAGAGATAGTCAAAAAGTGACGAGTACTCATGCAAATTTTGTTGCTTTGGCAGCTTGTTTGAGGATAAAGCTGATTTTTCCTTTTTTGTACATTTTTAATGTTTACTGTGCAAGCAAAGCATTTTCAACGACTATACTCACCACACTATCTGTTAATCTTTTGTTTAAATATAAAATGAGAATATTTTATTTATTGAAAAGTATTTGTAAAGCAGTTTTAGCCACCCTGTTAAAGAATAAAATCAGTATTTCATTTGGCTCTTTTAAAAATTACAGGGGGCAATAATATATGGTCGCACATGTTCTCGTCTGTAGTCATGTGGTTTTGTTCTTCATTGATATTTCTATTACGTAGGTATTTGTTTTGAAATAAGTAGGGCAACAAATGTTCTCATATTCAGCTTGACCTTCTTCTAAACGTTATTCAAGGCGGCGTTAAAAGTTCAGGGGCTACGGAATAACAATACTCCCATTTTCCACACCGGACTTGTGATGGTAGACAGCACAATGAAGCGTAGAGGGATGCAAAAGTACGCTCTACTTAACTTATTTCTGCTAGGCTATTGGAAAACCGATTTCATTCTCACTGATGTTGGTGCATCACCACGTGGTTTTCGTCTTTTTTTTTGTGATTTTACAGAAGACCCGTTCCCAAACTACCGACATCCTGAGGCGTGACCTAGTGAAGAACATATCCTCGTCGCCAAGCACGTTATTAACCGCCACAAACCAGACATGGGGATTAGCAGCCTGGCAACTTCTAACCAGGACACGTTTGTTGTAAAAGATTCCAACAAGAAGGAAAGAGGAGGAAGCTACCAGTGCGCTCATACAATGCGCGATGGAGAAAGTAGCAACAGTGTTGTTAACGCTTTCTTCACTGAACGCATAGGCGGAAAACCATTGGACGAAGTGTTTTCTGTTGGGCGAGTCAACTTCCTTAAAACAGTAACTAAACTGACTTTTGGATTTCTTAAGAAACATAGATTCTGAAACAGTAAACATGCAAAAAAATAAAATAAATAAATGAAATAAAAAATAAAAAATGAATCCTACGGCTATGAATCCTACGAAAAAAGCACCACCGTTTTCATAACGTGGCACTTTTTTTACACAAAACTACATTTGCACGGCGCTGCAACGGTACTATTTCTAATAGTATTTTATAGAAAGTTTAATATGGTGGGACTACTTTTAACCGTCTGATACGAGTGTCGGAAATATTAGAACTCAGTTGTTGCCTTGCACATGTAATAACCACGGTTGCACGTTTTTATCATGGGCGGTGCACTAGGATATTTTACATTTGATGCATTATTACGCAACGAAGCAAATTTATCTACATATATTTCATTCCAATTACAACAAAGGAATAAGGACAAAATTGCCTCGTCAACGTAACATACATTATGTTGGGAATTACTCTTCTCAAAAAAAAAAAAAAAAAAAAAAAAAAAACTGTTTCGGCCACGATAATGTAGTCTCTCTTTGACCTTGACTCAAATTGCAGATGACTACATGTATTTCATTCGACGTTTTGTGAAAAGGTGATATCTTTTAGGCTTGTAAAAGACATAAAAAGCAGTCATGAAAATATACTGTTAAATTTGTTTGGTGTTATACTCTGTAAATTTTTATCTAAACACGAAATTACACAGTCTGGAATTTTTTTAAAGTCAGGCTTTATTCACTCACACATTTTGAAAGTTAAATATCATTATAAATACTAAATTCCATGATGTATAAAATCTCTGAATTCTATGTCTGGGCTCCCTAACTACCACACACACCTATATGTAAGAGCATTACTACCGTTTCCACACACTTTTCACAGATTCAACATCCCCTTTACAATTTTCCCACAATTCATCAATGAAACCCACAACAGTAGTGAAATATATTCTGTGTTTCCCATATGCTAAGTTTTTTACACTTTGCTACTGATGAAAAGGAGAAAAAAAACAGCTGCTTATTTGTAAAAAATTGCATGGAAATAACGCCGATCATGCGTGTGGTAGTTAGAGAGCCCTGTATATAATGGTATTCCTCTGAAAATAAGCCAAACCAAACAGCGATTACTGTTTCACCTATATAAAGGCAAGAGAAGCGCATGCAACACACTTGATTTATATCAAACACAAGATAAAAAACAAAGCTTATCTAAAAAACCAACTGCATAAATTAATAAATCGATAATTCAGACAAAGGATGTAAAATAACACTGTATATCACTTAAAAAGCAAATATTAAATACTACGTATAAAAAGTGCAAATTTCTCTATTGAAATACTGTAGGTAAAATGCAATAATCAAAACTCCCAGCAAGATCTTTGGACATGTGTAGCTCATTGGCATTTTGATACGGAAGACAATTTATTTTTAAGAATAAATACCTTTTCAAATTGAGCATTATGTCTGTGTGATACATATGTACATGTACCAGTTTTTTTTAAAAAATGACAACTGACAAGAACCCCCCCTCCCCAAGTCATTATTCAGGGGCGAATTTAGGCTGTCTTCTGGGCCTTCTGGAAGACGGTCAGATTTTCAAGTTAACATTTCAAGTTAACATTGATGGATATCTAATTTTTCCTGTCAGAAGACAGTCAAAAATAGAGGATGGATCAATAAAGATAATTTGGAAGCCTGTTAGAAAATATCTTTGGATCCATCCCTGTTATTAGAAGGTTAAACCAACCTCTCAAAGCATAGTACTTCAGCTGTTTCGCTAGGATATAGCATTCTATGTGAAAAGGTCTTAAATCACTTACATGGCAATCTTTTTTATCACAAACAATTTAAGCCCAAAAAGGCCTACTAGTAGGTAATAAGCAGAAAAAAGCCAGTTATTAGGCAGTAGAGTCAACCTCAAATAATAAACAGGAAAAAAATAGAGCATATACAAAACAAAACCTAATACAAGCACCCTTGTAATAATACTGGTGTATTTCCAGCTGCCTGCCATTGTTAATAGTTATCAGTCTTACATGGTTATCCTAGAACAAAGAATCACTCTGATGTCTCCAAAGAAGATCAAAACATATTTTTAAAAACTGCCTACAAAGGTGACTGTAACTGCAAAAGGTCAAGGGGAACAGCCTCCCTAAAACAAGGGAAAACAAACACTTGCAAAATGATCCTTAAATGTCTGTCATGCTTAGTAAAGCTGCTAGGGGGTAATCATCTTTACCCTAGCTGATTCAGTAGGCGTGACAGACATTTAAGCCGGTTAAGTTGACAGCAATTTAGTGAGACTCCCCAGGGAGATAGATCAATCCAGATGGATCGATCTAGGGATGGGAACCTATATAGTCTTGGTTCCCAAATAAAAGTGAAAGCACTATATCAGCACCTTCCATCCTGAGTAAAGATATTTTATACTCAGCGAGGATTCTTCTCAAATGCTGTTTCAAAGTTTAAAACCACCCAGATGATCCTGAAGCTTCCGCTGGTTTCCCCCATCCTATCATACCAGTAATGCACCCTATGATCCCCAGGGTGTCCAGACCCTGCTCAACACTGTGGCAGGACAAGTTGTACACCAGTAAGGACACATTACACAGCCCAGATGAGCAACCCGAGAAACACTGCAGCCACTCAGAGGAATCTATACTGTACCAGTGGAGAAATCTGCAAAGAATAAAAAAAAAGTCAAATTAAATGTGCTTTTCTTCAACTCTTTAAATATTGACAATGATTTGAGACATGTAAATGCCAATAACCATACTAATACTCTGTACTCTAGTGCTCTGTTTACTTAATAAGGAAAAATCTGGAAGATAGACGTGACCTACCTGAAGATGACAGCAGTAGCAACCAGGGACGGTATCAGTTGTAGTTGCACTGTTTCCAAGAATGTTGCTAGAATACATGTATTCAGGAGCAAGACAAGGTCCTCCTCAAATGACTTGCGGACAAATGCCTTCACAGTATCAGTAGAGTGATGCTTTAAACTTGCTGTTAAAAACAAACATATATATTAGATTGACATATTGATGTGCCATTCTAACCCACGACTACCCCCAACCTCGGACATTTGGAAATTCTGCAAGTACATTGGTAGCACTTCTAACCCAGCAAAGTAAAAAGGGTAATTTGAATAATTTGGTGTCAGTTATTTCTTAATACCGCAGTTTGTGAATGCTGATGTTTATATTTCAATGCATATAACGAGTCTATAGTAACAGTGTAATAACAACAAAAGCTCACGTCTTACCAAGCACCAAAGGAATCAAAGCCCACAAATTCCATCTCAGAGCATAAATCAGTTTGGCACTGGTGTCTGTAGCCGTGTCATCTCTCAAAGGCTCCATTACTTGCATGAACAGTTGAACAGAACCCGCGAATGTTGCCACGCCAAGCACAAAAGGCAACATGCTTTTGATACGGACAAGCCACTTGGAAGGCATTTTCTCTGCGATGGCAGTTGACATTGGACTGCCATTTTTTTCTGCCTCAGGCTGTTCACTCATCGTTGAGACCTGAAAGAAGTGTGATTTTCACGATTTGTCTTTTAAAATTGTTTTAATTCCAAAAAGAGTTCAAACAACTGAGTGTTACCAAAGAATGATTTGACAGATACAGTAACAGAGTTTCTCGGGGTAGTACACGTAGTATATTAGNTAAAAAAAATGTCAAATTAAATGTGCTTTTCTTCAACTCTTTAAATATTGACAATGATTTGAGACATGTAAATGCCAATAACCATACTAATACTCTGTACTCTAGTGCTCTGTTTACTTAATAAGGAAAAATCTGGAAGATAGATGTGACCTACCTGAAGATGACAGCAGTAGCAACCAGGGACGGTATCAGTTGTAGTTGCACTGTTTCCAAGAATGTTGCTAGAATACATGTATTCAGGAGCAAGACAAGGTCCTCCTCAAATGACTTGCGGACAAATGCCTTCACAGTATCAGTAGAGTGATGCTTTAAACTTGCTGTTAAAAACAAACATATATATTAGATTGACATATTGATGTGCCATTCTAACCCACGACTACCCCCAACCTCCGACATTTGGAAATTCTGCAAGTACGTACATTGGTAGCACTTCTAACCCAGCAAAGTAAAAAGGGTAATTTGAATAATTTGGTGTCAGTTATTTCTTAATACCGCAGTTTGTGAATGCTGATGTTTATATTTCAATGCATATAACGAGTCTATAGTAATAGTGTAATAACAACAAAAGCTCACGTCTTACCAAGCACCAAAGGAATCAAAGCCCACAAATTCCATCTCAGAGCATAAATCAGTTTGGCACTGGTGTCTGTAGCCGTGTCATCTCTCAAAGGCTCCATTACTTGCATGAACAGTTGGACAGTACCTGCAAATGTTGCCACGCCAAGCACAAAAGGCAACATGCTTTTGATACGGACAAGCCACTTGGAAGGCATTTTCTCTGCGATGGCAGTTGACATTGGACTGCCATTTTTTTCTGCCTCAGGCTGTCCACTCATCGTTGAGACCTGAAAGAAGTGTGATTTTCACGATTTGTCTTTTAAAATTGTTTTAATTCCAAAAAGAGTTCAAACAACTGAGTGTTACCAAAGAATGATTTGACAGATACAGTAACAGAGTTTTTCGGGGTAGTACACGTAGTATATTAGAAAAATGTTTTCGAAATATGTTCAACTGCATCTACCAGTACACCATGGTGCACAAGTTAGATCGTATTCCCGCCCTCTTGTTCCAGCTAACACAACCACAGACAGCCACTCTCTGTCACAACGGTCACAACACTAATGAGGAATGGCTGGTATCCACAAGCCGTAGCTGTTGACGATGTACCACAATTTCAAGCGGTTTAACGGTCTAAAATGTTGAGACACGAGTGTGTCAGAGAATTCTTTCGATCTTCAAACCATAGCTTCGCGTCGTTAACTTTACTAGAAACCTCTCAAAAAGAATTTACCTTACTCCCACAATCTTAAACTAGTGGTAAGTTTTCCAGAAGTTGTGTTAGTCGCCAAGAAGCCCTAGGGTGACTTGCCGCGAAAATGTCAACTTAGGACGCTGTCGTTTACTTCGCGGAAAACGTAAATATCGGGACAAATAAACCAATCGAACAAACGTATTCAGTCATGACGTCTCACAGAAAGTCCCGTGGGGTGGAAAGAAGGCGGTGCCCTTAAAAAGTCTGCATCATAAGAAAATGCTTAAGTGTAAACGGCTTGTGCATTATTATGTTTTAAAGGAATCATTTAAATAGTTAATGGCATATGGTTTTATTTACTGTCATTGAAAAATATATCAATATTGTGGTTCGCCGTGACCCAGATTTCTGTTTGATCACATGGGTACCCTTTTGTTGTCACTAACCCTAAACTTGTTATGCACTTATCGTGCCGCTCAACTTCCTACCTGGGTTATAACTTCCTCCTCCTCTGCGCACAAATAACCACTGAGCTCATCAAGGGACGAGAAGGGAAAAAACGCTGCAGAGAGGTCCACGCACGGATATGAGATAAGCGTAGCGGTATCGATAGTTATAAATTACACGAGAATTTACACCTGTCGGTGTGGCCAAGACTTAATTCAGACAGATCCCATTCACTAAAATCGCAGGGTGCCAAACCGTCGAATCAATGTAAATGATTCGCTTGAGCTGTGTCACGTTCCACGCACGGTCAACATTCCTGTAGATCTTGGATTTTACCTCATTGGCCTGGGAAACGAAGAACAGGAATGGTCTATCAAGTTGATGAACACTAAAACATACCTTTCACCTATCATGTCGTCAGTACGAGAGAAGTCTCGCCCGGACAAGTTTCATGAAGATTGGCTCGATCATAAGGGATCAAAATCGGTAGGTTGGCCCGAAGTATTTTTGCTTTAGTGATATTGGATTTTGCATTATCTCGTCTCAACCTTAACTAAATTGACATTCATAGCGGCGTTTTCATGATTCACAAAATGAAGTTGTTTAATGCCCAGTGCCCCCCACCCCCTCCAAACGGCGGCCACACCCTGCTGGTACTCATATAGAACGCTGTAACTTCTGTACATGATTGAGTTGGTAGTGTTTAGTTTAAAAGTTTAAATGAACTAATTAAATGACTTAATTTAATTTAAATGACTTAATTTACTAGCTAGTACAGGGGCGTAACCAGACCTTTAAAAATTGTACGCACAGATTTTTAAAATACCCAGCATGTACAGCAAAATGTAGACTAACGCAACAGATGAAAGACAGCGTAATAACAGCATATGTACCACACATCGTAGCTTAATTTCCATTAATAATAAAATAATCATTTAAGTCGAAAATATTCTCGCGATTTAATAAAGTTTCAATATTTTTATTTACCCAGAACGGTATATTCATTTAAAAGGAGACTAACTTCGCATCAGCAGACCCCCCCCCTCCCCTCTTCGAATAATGCTGGATTCTCCTCTGAGTTGAACTTGCATATGGTTTCATCCAGCTTTCATGCGGGTGCATGGCTCCCAAAAACAACCAATTATATGACACAATAGAGCTCTGATACATCTAAGTTTACTTATTTGTTTGTGGAAATTGCCCATGTCACCCTATTAGTTTGGAGGGCTAAGCTGGATCAAGTCCGTGTGAAATTCTTTGAATCTTTGCAGGAAAAATTCTTCCTTTGTTTCTCTAGCTCCTTATTAAACCTGGTGTCCAGATTTTAGCTAGTGCCCCCAGGTCTACGGGAGCTGCTCTTTGAAAGTAACACACAGGTAGATTTTACCAGATTTTATCACCAGCGAGAGTGCGTTCGTTACTCTCATGACTACAGGAGAGTTGAAGGCCACTTAACCCTCCAATTAAGAGGTAAAGGATGTTCCAGTTAGATGGACGATTAAGATAGGACTTGTACAGGTAACAGGCATTGTTTACCTCAGTTGAATAAAAGTATGCAAGATGGGGGGTCAGAACAATTGTGCGTATACAGAGGATTTGTACATACAGGTGACTTTAATTCGCAGAGGATTTTTGATATATATTCCGTGAAAAATACACTAAATTTATATAAAATAATATCATGGTTGGCCAAAAAAATTGTACGCACAGTGCATCCGTGCGTATGCCTAGTTACGCCCATGTAGTATATGGAATGTAAAAGCTCACCATATACATGTACACGCTTGTTTTGTTTTTTTTTTCAGTGCACACATGTACATGTATGCATGCGCAAGACAATGTAAACCTGTTTTCTGAATTGTTATATAGCTTTTGTTTCTCTAATCAGCTTCAGCTTATAAAAAAAAACTTTTTAACATGTTTACACTTTTATCTTTTATATATGAATGTTGATTTCAACCCACATTTGCACTTGGATTTGATGTTTTATTCCATTTTTAATATTCATTAATGATTTAGTTCTAAATGACTGTTGGTTCATATTTAGAATGCCTTATGTTATGTCTTTCTGTTCATTTCAGAAAGAACAATTGAGATCAGGTACTTTTATTTGAGGGTTTTTTATAGTGTTCTCTCAGCAGATCTAATAGGGCTGCATCTCTCACCACAATTTAAGCAGTAGTAGACAGGCGAGCAAAGAGATTTGGCTTGTTTCTACTGTTATGTGTTAATGTATTTAGCATTTATTTTTGGGAAAATCATAAAGATATTGCCTTTATTTTTTGTGGTCGTACACTGTATAATTGTTTTTTCATCTTTAAAATTTTAAAATGATGAGGCTATTGATTACTACTGAAGTAGGTTTACACACTTTATCTGACTTGCCATAGCTCCCGATTATCTTCAATATTTAATTGCCATTTTTTTAACTGATGGTATTACAGTATAGCAAAACATTAATCATGTTTGAAGTTGCAATATTGATTGGGATATTACTTGTTCAAACGTGATGGATTTAGGCCATGTGCTCATTGTCTTATCTTGCCAGCAAAATTGATTTTGTTCAGCACATATTTGATATTCTAGGGGGTTTATCGTTACTTTATGTGGTGAAACAAAATTAGTTAAAGAATCTTAATATTTACAGATTATTGATATTTTCATATCCAATAAAATATGAGTAAATGCTACACTGTAGCATGTTAAATTATTACAGAAAAATGTTTCTGTCTTTATTGCAGGATAGATAATTTAGTTGATGGAAAAAAAAAGAAGTTTGATATCGTTTCATTTGGTCATCTAGGCCTATTTGTTTTTACTATTATATGTATAAGGCCAGGTTCTTCTTCAAAGAATGGCATTATTTTTCACTTTTGCAGCTGCATGAAAACTGAATACATCTTAAAGTGAACCAGAAGTCCAAATTCAGAATGCACTATTTTCATGTTTCAGAATGCCTATTCTACTTTATGGGCTGTATTAAGGGGTGACGCTATCTATTTCTTCAAAAACGAAAGGACAGAAATCAGAGGAAATGTAAGTATATATGTTGTATTGATTGAATACTTTGATCAGTTCAGTTGTCTTGGAATCCATGTACATATTATCAGTTTAAGTAAACTTTTAGATTAAAAAATCTCAAATATTTAGCAAATTATTCAATTTAAATTATGATGCCTTGTGTTTGTAGCTGTTTGTCAAGGTACTTCTTCTTTACTGAATATGCAAAGGTGTACACTGTAAGTGGGTATAGAGAAAGAGATATATAAGCATTTGAACTAGGAGATTTGTCCAAAGCAGCACAAAATCTTATGTAGAAGCTCCAAACATGCTTTTTGTTAGGAATATGTAGATATGCTGTTCAACTATATTACAAGTTCAATATATTTTTTTCCTCAGTTACTTGGATCATTAAGACTTAATGAGCAGACAATAATTACAGCTGACAAGAAGAAGGACAAAAAATTTGAGTTGGAATCTTACACAAGAGATGGCATCAAGAAAAAGAATTTTTTCAAAGTAAGAATGATTGATATACCAAATTTGTTATATTCACTGGGCCATTGGAAATAGTTACTAGTAAATGTTAACTTCATACTTTTAATTCAAAATGTGCTATGAATTTGATTGTTTGAAACTTGCATTTTAATTTGAAATTATAGATATATTTATGAATGCTTATTGATAGTCCAAAGGTTTATTGGTCTGAAAAAATCATAACATTTTCATCAGTTTTTCTAACAAAAGGATTGTTGGTCTGAAGGTTCTGTAGTGAACATTCTGACCTCCAGACTATTGAACCTTTACTTTTTTTTCATTCACCCTTAGGAAAACTTGAGTAGAAAAACAATTTATGATGTTAACAAGTAAAGCCAACAAGGGCAATATGGTATTGTATCCATGGATTGAAATATTGGGTGTAATAATAGATTTGAACCTTATTGTGCACGGTTTAGGAGTTAGAAGATAATGAGTTAGCTGATAAGAGATTGTATAGATTACAATCTGATATGTTGCTTATAAATTGGATATACCACACCAATACCATTAAGTTACCAGTATTACCAAACTTTTGTAGTGCTTGTGATATCTGTAAAATGGCCTCTTTGTTTATATCATATTTATTTACTTTGCCAAAGTTTTCTCCTTTGCAAATGATTAAAAATAAACTAAGATAAATATACATGCATGATTGCTTGATTGGGTGCACATAAGCATAGGCACACACGCGTGTGCAAGTATATTTTCTATTTATGGAAAGGCAGACAGATGGATAGATATAAATTATTAAGTCCATAGAAATCTTTGACTGGCCTTACCTCTGTTTCTGTAATAATGAGTTGTACATTTCATGTTATCAGTATGTTACTTTGGTAGAAAATATTTGCATAAAGATTGCCTTGTTTATAAATCTATGCCATGGTATTAAAAAAAATTTAGTCAAACAATTTAGTACAAGTTGTGAAGTAGCCTGCCATGCTGGGGTTATGGTGGGCCTGACAGTAACTGTTACCTTTCATGTTCTATGCCACAGGGAAATCAGGGTTGTTTTTGTACCTCTCACCTGTATGATTAATGACTTACTAAGACTGGAGGTGCTAGTGAAGGAGTGTCCCTTTTGAATGAAATCCCAAGAAAACCCCTTTGGAAAATATATTCAAAACAAGTTTGTTATATTAACCCCAAACTTTTTATATCATTTAAATGTTGTCTTCATTGTTTGTTAATGTTAATGAAAAAACTTACCTTGTAATTTTTTTAGTATTTATTTGAATTTGAACACAACAGTGTTTATGGTGCTCTTTTAATGTATAATGTATGTAGAGATTATGTACTAATTTTTTGTCGTTACAGTGTAAAGATTCTACCTCAAGAGATCTGTGGAAAAGTTTCATCATTGGGATTTCTAAGGTAAGGATTATTATTATTGTTATTAAAAATTAAAATTATTATTATTTGAAATTCCACCTTGGATAAGTGTTGTTGTTACTGGTGATAAACACCTAATTTCAATTTGCTTATTTCGATGGCATTTTTGTTTAATAGTCTACCCGCATGCCCTGGGAAGTTTAGGATGACTGTGTGTCAAGTTATGTCAGGTGGCACTTACTGGCACACACTGTATGTATACTTACCCAGTAGGGTGGAATGGTGCAATTTATGTATTTGAAAGGATTCCTTTGTCAGTTATTCTTTATCATAATATTTATTCATTTATCATTCACTGTATCCTTTTTTACTTCCTGGTTCCGTTCCATGCAAGAGAAATTCCAAAACTGTCCATTCTGCAGATTTTGAACCACTTCCTTGTCAAACAAAATTGTTTCAAAGGGGGATTCCCCTCTCTCCTTGCCTTCATTGCATACTATTTAGTAAGTCATATTACTCTTTCTAAGAGTTAGACATCACTTCTGGCTCACTTTTTATTTCTAAAATGCTGATAAAAAAAGAAATCTTGAATGTATGTAATTGACCTTAGTATGTGTGTGTGTGTGTGGTGGGGGGGGGGGGGGGGGGGGGGAGGTAGAGAAGGTCCTTTTCCAAACTACTCCACCACATTTACTAATAGTTGATATTTTTTATCGTGAGTTATGCCTAGAGGAAAATATGGGTTATACTTTTCAATATTATATTTGTGTCTCAGTTAGATTTGATTGTGACGGTTTGTTCTTTGTTCCAGAATGCATTACTTAAAGCAATAATAACTCTTCGTATCGGCCAAAAAATGAATTTTCCTGGAGTTAACAACAATTTTCCCATACTTACCAATGGTTAATGAATCCATTTTTACATTCAAAGTTAGTCCCTGGTTTTTTTCTAAAAAGTTTGGTTTTTTGTTAAAATCTCTTAAGAGATTTTAACAGAGTATAGACATCAGTGGAGGTCACGTGGACTAAAGACAAGTTCAGATATCAGAATAAAAGCTATAACTGCTGTTTTTGTGGTAAAACAGAATATATTATATTTCTATGAGTTATTCACAAGGTTTTTATTGTGAAATATAGATCTCATACGAAGAGTTATTATCCCTTTAATATTAACTTGTTCAGCAAACCTAGTTAAACAGACCTGTAGCCACCATTTCAAAGAGTGCAGGGGGGGGGGTCTTTTTCTGAAAAATGGGACCTTTTGTCATGAAACTTTCATTTACCTAGATTAAAGTTTACCCAAAGCAGACCCTTTTTCAAGAAAAAAAGTGTGGTTCCCCCCTCCCCCTGGCTATGGGCCTGTTTAAGAATTTGAATTAACTTAATTAAAGTATGCAATGTAATTAAATATCACAGCTGGTTCCCATGTTAAGTAATTGACTGCAAGTGGAAAGGGCTATACATGTAATTAACACACCTTTTTAGGACTTTTCATTATAGCCTTTATATCAAAATATGTTCGACATACCAGTATTTTGGATTTTTTAAGTGTCCCTGTAGGCTAAATTAGTTACCTTGGTAGTGAAATAGTGGAAATAGCAGGGACGGATCCAGAGATATTTTCTGACAGTCTTCCAAATTATCTTTGTTGTTCTATCCTCCATTTTTGACCGTCTTCCGACAGAAAACATTAGATGCCCGACAATGTAAACTTGAAAATCTGATCGTCTTCCGGAAGACCCAGAAGACGGCCTAAATCCGCCCCTGGAAATAGGATGCAGAGTTTAAGCATGAGTTATTTTCTATAGACCAAAAAATTAAAAGTAAGATATGGCAGAATCTGCGTCAGTCAGCATGACTCATATGCTAGCAGTGTCGTACTGTCAATAATCTTGTAACACTCCATGAGGCATGAGACCTTCCTGAGAAAAAAAACTATATTATTTTTAAAGGTCTCTTAGGGTGAAATTACAAATTATATGTAGGAATTTTCAGTAGGGTTAGCTATACAGTGGCTGGGGGATTGGAGAGGAGCACAAAGATAAATGGCATTACTAATTAATCTACCTGTGGGGTGGATGGCAATTAGCTGAAATTGGGAAACATTTACTGTAAATTTTCATGGTTAACTTATGAATAATTTGTTGTGCTAATTTGTATACAGATTGATTAAGATACAGGTAATTGTTCTTTTGGGTGTGAAATGAAGATTTGTCTTGCATGCTTGTACCCCAATTCATGGAGGGAGTGGTAATTGTTCTAATTCAACATAGCTAGATATGGTCATTCTTTTTAGGACCTCGTTTCTTAACCTAAGTAAAAAGTATGTTTTCATGTACATACAGTTGTCTTGCTTGTAGACAATTGAACCCAAACATGTAAGTGACTGCACTATTCATTACTTAAGTGAGCTACCTCCAGTGTGTACCTTCAGACTTCTGTTGAATGTAAGCATGAAAACAGGAAAATGTTCAGAAAAAATATGATGTACCTGAAAGTTGATTTTTCTAATCTGATTTCTATATACAGCATCTTTTTTCATTTTCAAAGAAAGGATACATGTTTATTCATAGTTTAGCTTTCTAAAATTTTTGTGGAAATAGTGGTAATTTTAAAACAATGATTTCTGATGCCATTTAAGCCAAATGATTTATGAAAACATATAGGCACAATTTACAATGCCTTATTTTATGTTAAAGGTATATGCACAATTTTGCTGATCTTTGAGTATGCACTTAATATGCACTTAATATTGTCAAGGATAAGATATAGCTTGCTGGTCGGTGTTGACTTAGCCCCATGCCATATCTGTAGCTGTTTGCCAAAAGTTTTTAACAAGTTGTTTTTTAACAACCATGTGCCTTTTTGTTCCCCATCCCTTAACAATTGTGTTTATTTTATGATGTTACAGATAACTGATACCAATTTTGATATCAGTTTACAAGTAATACCACTGTCTGGCTGAGTTTTGTGTTAGATTTAGATATGAATACATTGCATTTATCTTGAAAAAGAATGGCAAAGGTAACATCTATTGTACTGGCAGCATATTGTGGATGGCTAAAATCCTTATTTGTACTTCTAGGACATGAAGCTATCAAATCTGAATTAACATCATAAAGTAAATTAACTTAAGCTTCATTCACATGCAATGTCTATTTTCTAAATTCTATTTTCTATTCGCGGTATGTCTTATGATCACGGTCTGTGCCCTGAATATCCCGCGGCGTAATTACTGGCAGCGCGAGCCATTTACTGTAATTTACTATTAGTAACTGGCTCGCGCTGTCAGTAATTACGCGGCGGGATATTCAGGGCACAGACCGTGATCATAAGATAGCGCGAATAGAAAATAGAATTTAGAAAATAGACATTGCATGTGAACGAAGCCTTAAGTTCAGTATAGTGTGCAGGTAAAATGTTTGCCTGCCTTGTTTGTGGCTGCTTTGTGGTGTCCTACATTATAACACTAATAATGCTCATACAATGTAATTGTCCTTTCAGTTACATTTTACTGTTTTCATTATGTTAGGAGACATTTTGATGGTGACAGGTGGTTGGCAGGTATGACTCACTGATACAGTTATTACTTTTTTTCTACAGTGCTGGTCATAAAAGCTGTGGGAAATCTCAATGGTTTTTGAGGAGATTTAAAAAATTTACACCATAATGTTTCCCTTACTTGAAATGATTAACTCATTTTGTAACTACTATCAGTTTGCATAAAATAAACCTATTTTTCAGGGCATCATGCCCCAAGATGTCCACCTTCTTCCCGGGCAAATCCACAAGGTGGAAGATGCTATACATTTTATTCACCGCCAGCGGGCAACACCATCAGAGAGAGGACCCCCGCTTCCCCCACGTCCTCGGGCCACCTCTCTTGGAGGATTTTCCACTGGAAGTATGAGGTCTGAAGGTGGATCTGTTGGGTCAGGAGATAGAGCATCCATTTCTGCTGCTTCTCGTCATTCTGTTGAGTCCAATTATGACACAAGACTTCCAGATACAGTAAGTTTTGATGACATTTAATGACAATAAAAAATGAGCATAGCATCAGGATCTACTCTTATTATAGAAGATTTACTTAAAGGGATAATAACTGTTCGTTTTGGCCAAGAAATGAATTTTCATGGAGTAAACAATAATTTTCCCATACTTACCAATGTATGGAATGACATCCACGCAAAAAATCAGACTTGCAATTTAATAGCCAAATGACATTCTAACAGCCTACAAGAAATCTAACAGTGGTCAAAATAATCTAATAGCCAACTCATAAAATTTAACAGATCTACGTACCTAAATCTACGTAATATGGATATTAAACAACATCTCTAAGGCTCCAGATGACGTCATCACTTTACGCCCCGTCCACGGATAGACCCGTGACAGCAGTGACCTCTAGCGTTAGATGCTGACTTGGCTGTTTTGAAAAGTTGGCTGTAAGATTATGAGTTGGCTGTTAGATTTTTTAACGCTGTTAAATTTTATGAGTTGGCTATTAGATTTTTTAACACCGTTAAATTTTATGAGTTGGCTATTAGATTATTTTGACCGTTAGATTTCTTGTAGGCTGTTAGAATGTCATTTGGCTATTAAATTGCAAGTCTGATTTTTTGCGTGGATGGCGTTCCATACCAATGGTTAATGAATCCTTTTCTACATTCAAAGTTAGTTCCTGTTTTTTTTTCTAAAAAGTTTGTTTTTTTTGTAATAATATCTGAAGAGATTATAACAGAGTATAACCATCTATGGAGGTAATGTGGTCCGATGACAAGTTCAGATATCAGAATAATAGCTTTAACTTCCATTTTTGTGGTAAAACAGAATATATTATATTTCTTTTAGTTGTTTCACAAATGTTTTTATTGTGAAATATAGATCTCATATGAAGAGTTATTATCCCTTTAATTACTTATTTTGCTTACATAATTAAAAGTAAATTTGCATTTTGCAGAGGCACAAGTTTTTTATACAAGAGGAAATGAATGATGAAATACCAAGGTTAGTTCTAATTTTTTTTAGCTTATTTCTCCAATTTTACAATATTTAGAAGTCTTTAAAATAATGTTGTTGTTTACTCTCTCACAAGCTGGGAGATAAAAATGAAATCTTGGAAATTCCATGTTTTAAGATTACTTATAAGAAGCATTATCTTGATGTTTTATTTAGATTTTTAGGATAGAAAAATGAAAATCTTGGAAATCCCATGTTTTAAGAATACTGAAGAAGCAAAATCTTGATGTTTTATATGATTTTTGATTGTTTTTAGTTGGTTCTTCCCAAATTGCTCAAGAGAAAAAGCTGAACAACTGTTAGACTCTGGAAAAAGATATGGCAACTGCTTAATGAGGGAAAGTACTAGCCACAGACAGACAGGCAGTTATGTTATCAGTTATCGTAAAGACAAGGACACTCATGAGTAAGTTGTAACAAAATGTCTTTCTGTTTCAATATTATTATATTTAATTAGAATGCAAGAAAAGAAGAAAATCAGGTGCAAATGACAAATTTATATAAAAATGAATGTACATTTTTTAGCACTTTCATCTTAAATCAAAGTCATAAAACTGCATAAGTAATTCTTTATTTTGGTGGATTAAGGAAAACTTTACTGAAATGTATATGTCAACTTCTTTGAAAACTACTGGTTATTTTCTCCTCCAATAGTTTTGAAATTTGCCATTATGAAGTAGCCAGAGTTTCTGAGGGTTACTTAATTGTTTTAGAGAATGAGGTAAGAAGCTTGAGTGATACGCTTATGTACTTAAGTTTAATTTACAAACAATTGTTAAGCCCAGATACTAAATTTATATAAAATGTCATGTAAATATTAAATGAAAAAATACAATAGTTTGTTACATTAATGTACTTGCATTGTAGGATGCCACACTGTGGTGATTCAGGAAAAAAATTTAGCAAGATTTAATGAGAGGAATCTACATGTACATTTACAATTTCAAAATCTAGAATTGTCAGTTAATGCTGAAAATAATTCTCATTTGCAGCCCCAGAAAACTTCACAGTGCCTTAGTGATGTCATGACTTACTTCACCACGATATGTGGGCGGTCAGCTGTTGCAATGAAGACAAATGACTGGGCAATTCTTGGAGCTAAATACCCAGATTATGTTACAAGGATGCCTCGTAAGTTTACTACACTTGAATCCTTTGGATGCTGATAAATAAAATTTAGCATACGGCTGTTTCAATTTTGTATTATTTGTAAAATGGGAAGGAAAATACATGTAAAGTATGTATTTTTTAATCTTGAAGCATCATGGAAGACTAAACTTTTTTAAACTTTATTATATGGATTTGACATAATATAAGTAAAACAGACTGAAAAAATGTTTACAACTTGATATTTTTTAATAAAAAAACATTCTTCATGATGATATTGTTAATTTGTTAGAGCAGGAGAGTACATGCTTATGTAGAAATAGCTTGCTAAATATATTGTACAGTGTAGATTTGAAAGTATATTGTATCTTTTTCCTCATGTATATTATGTATGTTATCATTTTAATTTATTTTCCTAGGACTGTTGCCCACTGATAAAGAAAATGGTGAAACATTGTATCCTCCACCAGGTGAAACCTTCTTGTTTTCATTTATGATAATTTGATTGACAAATGAAAGACTGTAATAGTACCCAGTACAGACAAAAAGTTAAATCCTTTCAACATTTTGTATGATAAATTAATTTTACAATATAGATATTTATTTAAAGAAATTGCTATAAGATACCAGTCAGTGATTGTTGAATTTCTTGGTAAAGAAATAGTGTATAGTAATAAAGTGTTACAATTTTATTACGTTTACCAGGTGGCTCTGCTGGAAGCAGTGTCAGGACAAGCCGCTCCAGCACTGGGAGTGAAAGTGTTTCTTCATATCAGAAAAACTGGGACAATTTGGCAAATAGAACATCTCAAGATAGTGGAAGTTACTACAATTTAAATGAATGTAAATTACATTATGCCATTATACTAGTTTTGTCATAAGTTGTTTGAAAAGTTGGTGAAATGAAGCAGTCGCAAGACTAGAAGCACAGATGCTTTATACAGTAATAGTGATGGCATCTCTACATTCACTGTAACAAAATTATATTTTATGCAGAGTGATTGTAAGATGTGTTATTTTTACATTGGCACACCTTTCATCTTTCAGTCTTTCCCCCATTTGGTGGAAATAATGACAGAGAAGATTATGTTAATGAATCAGAAATTGAAGGTAAATATTTTCGACTGTGAAATTTGCTGAGCATTTGAGCTACTATCACTCATGTAGAAGTTACGCAAAATTCATTTGTAGTTTCTAATTATAATTATCTTTTGCTGAATCTTTTCTCTTGATGCTATTTTCTTTCTACAAATTAACAACTAAGTTAATGTAGTAATGTACAGATAACAATTTTGCTTGATTTACCTACAGAAGTTCATAGACCTCTATCTTGTGTAGAAGATGAGTATATTAACCCTCCATCCTCAGGTTTGTAATGCACTGATGCTTTTTTAGGCATGCTACAAAGGCTTTTACTTATTGTTGCTGTGCAGAGTAAAGCTGCATGCATGTATTTTATATGATGCAGACACAGGTACATGTAGATTCAGCTACTAAGGTAATAAAACTTTTTGACTATTGCATGATTCAAACTGATTGCAGTTTGTTACATGCCAGCATTTCAAGAATATTGTTTATGGTAGTGCCCCAATCTTGACAGGCAAGCCACAAAGAGACATAATTTTGTGTAAGGACTGAATTCACTTTTGCCTACAGTTGAAAGTCTTCCACCACCGCCAGAAATTTACATGGAGGCACAACATTTCACTGATACCTATACTGTCGGCGGGGCACTGAGATTTGGCAGGTCCAAAATGCAGCTGTGTCCTATACAAAGCAGTAGCTCATCATCAACCTGCCCCATGGCAGACACTTATGTGGTGGGTGGTCCAGAAACAATACAGGAAATATACTATATGAGTCCTGACACAGAGACAGGTAACCATTTAAGTTACCTGAAAACACTGCCTGTGATCCCCCAAGGCCACCCATTCTAAAAAGAACACAGTAGCAAAAAAAGAAGAAAAAGTGATACAGTTGATAAGTATTTTTAAGATATTAAATAAAATAGGCTTTATCATTATAACATGATTATGTTAGAGAGAAATGATTTCCATTGTCTTATGTTACTGGATTAATGTGAATCAATTACCAATCATGATACTTTTGATTTAACTTACCTGTACTTATATTTTCCTGAGCATAATACTGATGAAATTACACAAGGTTATTATCATGTTAATAGCTTCATTATTTATCCATAACATTAACCTCCCTAAAAACCTCATTCCACATATATACTTAAATGATACATTGTATATATTCATTTAATGAGAGTTTTTTGGTTCCAATTTGAGATATTTTAAAATGATACAAAATTTCCAAGAATATACATGTACTGTAGGATCAATAATTGTCTCATATGTTGGTCAACAAGCCATTTTAAGATTTGTGTGTTCTGCCTTATACCAGTATTTTAACTATATATTTTTCATATTTAAATTCCAAAGCTGATTTCCCCATTTTGTTCACTTCTGTCTACAGTTGAGAGTCTGCCTCCACCTCCAGAAATATATGCAGAAGCAGATCATTTTAGTGATACTTATGCTATAGGCCAGTCGCTGAGAGCTGTCAGTACAGCTAAGAAGCAGCACTGTACTATACAGCCAAGTAGTTCTAGTACAGAAACTTGCCCCCCAGTAGATACCTATATGGTTGGTGCTCTAGAGCCCCTTAATTCTACGCAGGAATACTATATGACTCCTTATTCAAAGACAGGTAGAGGTAGCAGTTTTTATCACCTGTTTACCTTGCTGGGTACATTTGTCCTTTGCTTTTTGGACCTGCAGCTGCTAGGTATAAATTTGTGCATATTCAAGAACTTAAAGATTTTTTCAGCAATCAGCCCTTCCACGATGCATGATTATCAAATGAGTATAATAACTGCCAACATCAAATTTGAATTCAAATATTCATGTAATTTAATATATTTTATTATATATTAGTTTTCATTTCATAAGGAGGAAGTGTTGAATTCACAATGAACATAAATAATAATATGATGTCACTTTTGTTTCTGAACATTAACCTTAATCCCAATTCTTTCAAACCAATCCTTAGGTCTACATGAATTTCTAACTAAATTTGAAGAAAATACATTTATTTCATTTCTGTACTGCACTGGCTAACCTACTATTATTTCTAACCCCACTCCTCTCTAAATCTTGCAAAATCCCTGATTTGTGAGATTTCAGGAAATCTTGGACAATGCCCAATTGTGTATTGGTTCACATTTCAGGCAAGAAATTCATGCTCATTTACCTGCATTTAAAATACTCTTCCTCAGTGCTTTAATGCCTCAAAATGCTGCTTATTTTCACTGCCTTGCTGAGTGACATTGTGACGTGACTTCATGACTGCTGTTTCTGAACTTGAGTGGAAAATTAATAATATTTACATACAAGTAGAGCTACTGCTCAATGTAGTTGATTGTCTCAGATAACTTGATTTTTAATGAAAATGCTGAATGATCCCTGAAACAAATATTTTGATAACTCTACACCACTTGTAATCACTACTATTAGTTAGTATGTACAGTACAATCTGATTTTCCTCCCAATTTTAGCTTTACATGAAGATTTTGATCATGACTACTATAATGAAGAAGTATTTGAAGGTACGTTTTGTTATATCATTACATGTTTTAATTTTTTATTTCATTGGAAACAGATAACTGACATTGTCATCGTGGGGTATTTGGTTGTTCAATGAAAATATGTGCCATCCTCAGGTACTAGGAGAGTATGAGGTCCAATATTAGATATGTATACTGCAGTTACTGTAGTAAGATCTTCTGTAAATGGACATGCCTGTTAAAATAATCAGTTATACAAATTCAGTAATTTATGGCTTAGATTATCAAGTAGTCAACAATTTTGAGTTATTTTGCTTGATTTTTTAACAGCTGCTGCCAGACAGATTATGCATGAGCAAGAGGATTATGAAAATGAACACAATATCCAACAACTTAGCCAGCAAGCACCCTGTAAGTGGCTAAAAATTGTTCTTTTTTTCTTTTATTAGCAATTTTTGTAATCGGGTGTTAAGTAAACTGGATATCTGTTGCATAATATCAGATTTACATGAACAGGAACCTGTGACAATATTCTTCCATTGTCTGAATTTTCCACAAATTGTCCAAATCAGCATTCTCTCCTCTCAAAAATGCTGGTTGCTATTGTAGTACATGTAGTTTAAAGTTTATATTTGTCCAATTTAGTTAAAGGGAACATGTTAAAACCCTGGTTTGTACATGTAGCTTGAATGTCAAATGTGGAATCATGTACATAAAATGAAAAAGTTTCAGATTGACCATAATTTAGTTCAAAGAAATTTAGAGGAAAGATTCATGCAAGAAAGAGGGAGAGAATACCGTACACATATCTGCTCTTAAAAGTGAATGTTGTCTTCATAATATTTTTAATTAAGTTAGAATTGTTATAAACAAATAAGATTAAAAGATTGTTTAAGATGTTGCACAAATGAAGCTCTGCCAAATCTTAAGCATACTTTGTACAGTGGAAATGATCATTGTTTTACCTTGTGTGTTATTTAACCATTACAGATACCTTTTTATGACTTAAGAGGGTATCACAAATACTTTCTGTTTCTTTGAATAGGGTCTCCAAGTCAAAGTAATGTGCCGATGGTAGTAAAGAACACTCCAACTTCACTGTCAGGCAGTACAGGATCCACAACTCCTCCAGCTCCACCACCCATAGCAACTATCCCTCACCGCTCAGAGCACAAAAGAGAAAGTAAGCATGCTGTCACTCCTTCTACTCTTACCTTTACTTTTCCCTGTTAAAGATAACTCGATAGCCTGTCCTTTATAAAGGTCTTTGTCATGTAGGCCTGTAGCCAGCAATTCCAAAAAAAAAAAAAGAAGAAAGGGGGGGGGGGGGTTCTGAAAAAGTGGACCTTTTACTGTAAAACCTTCATGAACCAAGACCAAATTTTACCCAGACTGGACCTTTTCCCAGCAAAAGGTTTTTTTTTTTTTTTTTGAATCCCCAAACACCACTGGCTCCGGGCCTGTAATGTGTTCTTCATTTTTGCATATATAGCATAGACCTGTGCCATTGTTCTTCCTTTTGACTTTGACTGTTTATGTGTTTAGTGTGTGTGTTCAGTGTATTTAAAATAAAAAGGACCATGTTATCCATGTTTTATTGCTGATTTTACTCCTCAACTTTCATGTTTGGAGCTGTTTATTTTATTGCTAATGAAATAACTGTGGGTTAGGACGAACCTTTTTTTGTCAGATTGCACATTATTGCTCTAATTTGTACAAGCATCATTTTCCCTTGCAGTTTTTTTATTAGGCTACCAGACTTTCAATATACCATAGTAATAAGGTGGTGTGAATTCAATTTGCTTTCCACAGTATTGCGCAGCTCTGTTACCCATTTTGTGGTGGTTTCATAATTGTCTCTCTTATGTGTGCAGGCTTTGTTTTATAGTTTTATATAATAATTTGCCAAAACTGATGATGTTGTCATAATGCTGTACAGTTGCATGCATATGTAAGCTGTGTTCAGAACTGTGTTGTATTTTGTTTGATGCATGCATTATTTGTAATAGCGTCTGAGGGTCACATTGCTCCGCCAGTTGATGGACCAGAGCAAGATTCTGCTTTTCCCAAGCACAGAACTGGCAGACGATTTAGTGAACCTGCTGTCAAATTTTCTGCAAGCTTACAAATGTCTGGTGAGCTATGAAAGAGGAAGCACTGTCACCAGTGCTGTCAGCTTATTTGGCTTACTACTAACTGAAAAGCTGGAAAAGTATGGGTCGATCACTAACACACTTTGAAACTGTGAAAGAAATGGGTCATTAACTCACTGTGACACTGTGAAAGAATATTAGCTACTTCTTAAACAGTATCGTAAACATCAGTCGCAGTGTTCAAGTGTTAAACATTTACAACTGCTGCTTTTTGATGTTTTATTTTTAATTAATTTTTTTGAGTTTTTTTCCACTTACCTATATTTGTTTCTGTATACATTTTATGCCAATAGAATAACCACCAGTTGCTTATTTGATACAATGCACTGATTATTGCATTCCAGGTATATTTTTATCATATTTGCACTTGTGTAGAAGTTTTCAGTCCAGCTGTTATATTTTTTTCAGCATTTAATTAAAGCTTTTTAAACATTTTTGTTTTGTGTGTGTTTGTGAATGCGTGCATGTTTTCATGTCTGCATATCTGGGACATAGACTGGGTTCCCATACCTAGATCGATCTAACAGGATTGGTCTATCTCCAGGGGGTTATTGCTAAATTGCCTTCAGCTTAAGCGGCTTAGATGTCTTGCACACCTACTGAGGCTGCTAAACGATAATTAATTACCCCCTAACAGCTTCAGGTGTGACAGACATCTAAGCCGCTTAAGCTGAAGGCAATTTAGTGAGAATCTCTTTGTAGATAGATTGATCCACAGTTAGTACGATAGGGTCTGGGTTACTGCTTGAGTAACTCAGTCAACTGTTATATACAGATGATTCATTTTTTGTAAAGTTGAATACATACTTGCTATATGGTCAGTCTTTTTATTTAAATAACCTAAACAGAAACCAGATTTCCATCCTCTCTTCTGGCACCTTGAATTCTTTCTTTCTTCCCTAAATGTTGTTCATATTAAGATGTTCTGGTACACTAGTATGGCTAGGAATAAAAATATTTGACATATATTATATGTATATTATATGTAAGTACCAGGTATAATTATACAATGAATGATCAAATTTTAGATTTTTAGATTTTTATGGATGACTTTATACACAGTTTGATTTGACATATTTTTTAAAACAGACAAATGGTAATTATTTCTGTCTTATCTGCCATTCAGCTGTTCCTGCTCCCCCACAACCTGATGAAATATTGGATGAGCTACAGAGGAAGTTACACTTGAGGCGTAGTGTAGTTGACAACCTACAGGAAGATAATTCAGGTAAACCCAAAAAATTCAAGCATCATATTGAGCATACATATAGTTATACTGTTTATACCAGTAGTAACCAGTCACATTAGCGTTTAAAGGTAAGAAAAAGTGGATAATACATTGGGTATATATTTATGATAAAAGTTTAAATAATTATAAACATTTGTCACATGATCCTTGCTTTTACCTATACATTTTTAGCACCAGTATATTCTTCTATGTCAATCTTTTTTGCTATTTCCCTTTTTCTGTTGTGTTGTAACTTGTGTTGCTTTTGGCTTTTGATTGTCATTGTGAAGTGAAGTGATCTGACTTATATTTCTGATTTGATTGTTGCATGCTTATACTGATTTGTTGTTGTGAACAGTCTAATACTCTTTTTAAAATTGTTTTAATGTTTTTAACTGATTTGCATCAGTTTATTTGCCAGAATTGCTCTCTTTTTGGCATATTTGTTCAATTTTTTGGGTAATTTGTGTGATTTGCTGTACATTTAATTTCTGCATTGATGAAATACTTAATTGGCATAACACCCATTTTGCTTTTTTAAACCCCCTTCAGCATCCCCTGATGGCTTTTCCTCAACACCTACAGCTTCCTCTGCTTGTTCCCCCATTACACAGACACCACTGGAGGCACCAAGGGCACCACCAGCACCACCTCTCCCAGTACCGCCACCACCACCAGCACCAGGGCTTGAACCCTTTCAAAACAATCAGCTTCAAACTGTTCCAGACATTCCCACAGAGCCACCACCTCCCCCACCAATCCAAAAGCAGGGGCCTCCAACTGCACCCAAGACAAAAAGAGGTCCTAATGTGAATGAGGGGCGCCCACTGCCAGCGCCACCTGGTAGGCAAACTAGGAGGACACAGAGCGCAAGTGCTGTGACACTGGGTATCCAAACTCCACAGACATTGCATCACAGCGCATCTGCTTCTGAAGTTCCAGGTAATGCTGTCCAATTCTGCTATTATGATATTACCAAAGGTGTACATGTGCTTTTGGCAAAGGCACCAGTAGCAAAAAATTAATTTTGCTGGAAATTTCAGCAATATTAACTTTATCGGTAATATAGGTTCCATCCAAAACTTTAGAAAATTATGTCCTGTAAACATATTTGAGTATTGTATGTTTTATTATCATAAGAGTGAAATTTGAGAGTGAGTCAAAATTTAGAAACTAATTTAGGAACTAAAAAAAAAAGTTTATAGTAAGTAACTTTGTCAGTGACTTTGGATATATTGCATATGGTGGTGATTAAAAAAAGGTGTTAAAATTTCTGGGAAAATTAATTTTTGCTCTTTATTCCAGTAAGACTAACACTCGTTTTGTGTCTTTATGGATGAAAGAAAGAAATTGATCCTATTGTGAAGATAGCAGAAATCCTCAGCTTTTATGCTTTTTTCTTTGAATAAAAGACCTCAAAATGAGCAAGTTAAAGCTTAAGCTTATATGTCAACTTTAGTTGCAAGCTTTGAAAAATGGTTTTTAACATTTTACAGACATATTAATTATTTTGCTATTCCTTTGTAGATCATGCAGTTCAGTTGCGACAGAAACTTCAAGAAAGATTCATTTACTCGACTCCTGACGCGTTTATGAAGAAATGATGTTACACTGTACTGTCAATCTTTGAATGATAGATATCCACACCAAAGTTCCACAGCTATGGTGATTGTTGTCCAGTTTGTTTTTGCTTTGTTATGCATTACAAAATATGCCAGTAAATTGTTAAAAATGACATTTAACTGTCCTTTCTTCATAAAATGGAGAAATGCTGCAATTCAAGAAATGTTTGGATATAATTGAGACATGTTTTTAATGTGTTATTGTATCATTTTACATATTCATGTAAGTTTTGCACTGATATTTCAAGTGTAATGCTTGTTTCTGTCAAATTAGGGCACCAACTCATCATGTGACAAATTCTTCTTGTTACTGGTTAAAAGTTTAGCTGATGTGTCAAATATAGGGTAAAATAACTAGAAATGGGCATCTGAGAAAATGATTTTCAAATACTGTGATAAGGAGTTCTTTACAGCACAGAGAACTAGAATATTGATTATTCTTTTGATTTTTATGTTATTGTCTTTTATGGTATGCCATTGTTTTAATCACTAAGTCTTCGTCTACGGTGCTTTTTTTCCCATATCTGTTTCACAACTTGCCAACTTGGTGATTACAAGAACACAAGGTAATTTCTTCTAGAATGTTTTTCACATTTTGTTTTTGAGTGGTAAGAGATTGATCAAATCTTATATAATATTAGTACTAAACAAAATACATAGGAAGTGGATAGAATATTTTAGTGCGATGTGAAGAATATTTTACCAAAAATAAATATGTACATGTATGTTTTGATTTATATTGTGAATTACAAAATGTACAAACAAAAAGAATAAAATGGTGTCATTATTTGATTATATGGGTAATTGAGTATACTCATGAAATGATGAATGCTAACAGTTCCATTTTATATGTTAAGGAGTTTTATACAGAGAGCTTTATATTATACATATTGTAGAAGTCATGTAATTATCAACATATCAATGCATGCAGCATATGAGATGTCATATTTGATATGCTCATATTTTAAAAAGTCCTAGAAATGTCCTACTAGTAGTTACCCTGTACTGATAACTTCTGTTTTGTTCCGTTTATTGCTTAGATATATTTCTGTGTCCCTCATTTGTAACTTATGATATATATGCATGAACATATTTCACTGAAAATTTTTTTTTTTAAAGGAATTCTGTGTAAAACACAGTGATGCAACCTGAAGTTGATTCAGATTTTTATGTGTACAAATACACTCAACCAAAATAATTAGTAAATATCATTATTTTGAATAACAGTAAAATAACCATATGATCTTAGGTAAATGTTAAACCAAATATTAATGGATAATGCCAGGGACTTACAGAGACATTAATGAATTTCAGTTTTCAAATCATGCAATTGGGGTGAGGAAGTTTGAAGGTTAAGCAAGTGTTGACAGTAAACATTAAAAATCTTTGAGCCATACAGTATGTAGGCTACAGTTAAGTAAAGTCTTGAGGTTGCTCAACATCAGTATTGTGTGAAGCCTCCACTGTCTATTGTCAAGACTTGCTCAAACTTTGTCACTCCATTTGTATTTCCATGACAAAGTATGAGCAATTCTTGACACTAATCAGTGGAGGCTTCACATAATACTGATGCTGAGCAACCTTTTTTGGTCGAGTGTATAACGTTAGAGGGGACAGAAGGACAGTTGTTAATTACCTCAATATTCGGATACACCATCGATAAAATTCTGATATTTCAATTAAAAACTTTTAAAATGCAATCTGCTGTTTTTAATTTGGACACTCAGATATTTAAACATAATTCTTGTATTGCAATGCAAAATGTAATACGTGTTATTTTTGTTTGCTCACAATGGCTGTATTTAACAAATTAACCGTATTTGATTATTTAATTTTATTAATTAATTAATTTTATTTATTTATTTATTTATTTATTTATTTATTTATTTATTTTATTTTATTTTTTTTTGCATCGATAAAAGATTTAGGCCGTAGGTGTCATTAATTACTTTAACGGGATAACATATATGTTCAGATAACTTTTACACATACATATAGATTATGTAGTTTGAACAAGTTAATTTTAGTAGATCCGTTGACCGTGATCAGTAGTGGTATTTTATAATGTTTATAGATATTCAATATATGATCCTTTATGGAATTAGCCCATTGTTACAGATAACACAGTTGAAATTTCTTTCTTTTGTTAGTTACCTACTTTATGTGTAAAAAAAGACGAGAAAGTTGATGACATATGTATAAAATGTTCAAGAGAGCGGATAGAGTTTTTCACCCTTAAGAATTTTTCGTTTTTGTCCTAGATGACGAAAAGTTTTATACTCACGTATTCTTTCACCAGCAATAAATGATCGTTGATCTAAACAAACATTTTGTTTTATTTCAGTAGTAATTTATTATTATTATTTTTTTTTTGTTTTGTTTTTGATTTTACTTTAATAAAATAAATGATTAAACTCTTTTCTGTTATTCTAAAATAAATCATTTCTATAGTGTTAGTATTTTCTAAGGAGGGGGGGGGCAACTTTTAGTAACGATGTGCCCGACCTAGCAAACACTGAACTTTAATATAACGTTTATATAACCAAAAAACGTTATAAAACGTTGCTGGGGATTTTCGTGATATGGCGTGCTTGTTGTACCCATAGAGGGGAAGTTTTTGGCGTCCGGGGATGATTCAATGATGCAAAATCACTTTATTTTATTTTAGACAATGATCTTAAACTTCATTCTTTTCAATGCTATGGAATACCTTCAGGTCCATGTACAAAGTGTTCTTTAACTTTTTACCGACTTCCTGTCATACTGTTGATGGTAGTTTCTCTTTTCCCATATGAGCACACACTAGTACTAAGATATTTGAAAAACCTGATTGCTGTTTAAAGCAAATAAAACATAGTTCTCGATCCAGAATTGAGAAAACGTTCTGATCATTGCCGGTTAAAAACCACAAACCTCACTGAAAGAGAATTCGTGAGTGCCGTCACCTACTCTAGTTCGTCTGTGTCAGCCTTTGCTTGTGGTGATTCGTCACCAATTGCAAAATATTTGAGAGTCGATTTCAACAAGGAAGACGTTACTTCGCTGACGTAGCGTCAGACCTTGATTTTAGAAATGGACGCCAGTTTATCTCAGGTGTACAAGTAAAGTACGGCAAGCGATAGCGTCATTGAACAAACAAGGGGCAAACCTGATCAAACAGCGCAGCAGTAAACAGCTCCGATAAGGTGGCGGATTTTACAGATAGCTCTTCGATGCTCTATTAAACAGGACAGGGTTTTTTTATTGAACAAATAAACACTGTCCAATTACCTGAACATTTTTATTTTAAAATTATATACACTTTTACTTATAATTGAACGATCTCGTGGTCTTTGGTCTCTGACTTTCAATTTCAAAGATTAATCATCAGTGTCATCATCTTCCATTTTATTAAGGCAATGCCGCCGGTTAAAATGCATTGTTCGCTCTATATTTTGGGTGCAACTTGTTTAAGAAGTGCGCCGCCCACACCTTTGGTTAAATTGCTTGCTCATATATGTCGTCGCCTTCAGGCTTATGTCTCAGTGACGGGGCCGTCTTGTCCGAAATGTCGGAGCAGGATGTGACTCTTGACATTCCATCGTTACTATTACGTCACTAACATATCACCCTGGCCAAAATAAAAAAGTTCGTCACGGTTTCAGGACGTTGCCGAGTATATAAAGTCAAGCTAATATTCAGAATTTTCATACACATTATTCTGCTCCTCAGATTGCTTCTGACTTGGCTGACTTTCTGCACTATTATCTGACACCTGCCGTGTTTCGTTTAAAGACGACCGAAGATGAAATTTTCTGGAGAAATTCTTGCATGCCTTTTTGTGCTAGGTAAGTTATTTTATAATTCAAAATTCTTTTCAATCGGTTTACATGAAATTCAATCTTGTAGTTAGAAAGATTTTAATTAATTTAGAAATAAGAATAGATTTGTTGATATATTTAGGAGTTGTGAATGCACTCAATGTAGGAACCTCTTTTTTCACTTTTTTTTTTTTACTTAATCATTTTTAGGAAACTTAATCCCTTCCCTCTATCAGTTTTAAGGACATATTTTATCATGCATAATGTTTACTTTACAAAGTATTTATCGGACCTTGTACAATTATATATTATGAAAAAAAAATTAATTACTTTTAAGAGCTAGCAAATAGAATTTTTACACGTAAATCCACTTTTTTCGGTAGTCGAATTATAGCATTGGGTCATAACACTATACCAGTGAAAAAACCTCTGGTACTGCTGCTAGTTCCAACTTTTTCTGCATTCTCTACTAATACATAATCATTCGTTTTAATACGGGAGAGGCAGAACTAGCCTGCGGTACTCGAGCCTATTGATACATGCGTGTTAATAAAAAAATTATATGACAAAACTGGTTTGCCAATAACAATAAGTTAAACCTTTGTTGCAGGTTTGATTGCCCTTCCCGCCTCAACATTTGAATGCCCGAAAAAACGTTCTGGTTTGTTCCGCGACCCCGAGGACTGCGGCAAGTTTTACCAATGCTACAAAGGACTTCGATCGTTCCGCTTGAACTGCCCCGCCGGGCTGCATTTCAACAACCGCAACAAGCGCTGTGATTATCCCAAGAAGGCCAGGTGCCAAACGCAAGTCCCTGTAGTTACCACACAAAACACACCCTTCTCAGGTACTCCCAAGTTTACGTGTCCGAAACCTTTCGGTCTTTATCCTGATGCGTATAACTGCAGCAGGTTTTACCAGTGTTCCTATAGCAAAGCCTTCATCAAGGTTTGCCCATTCCAACTGCAATTCAATGCAAGACTACACGTGTGTGATTTCGCCGAGAGCGCAGGTTGTGTTGCCCTTTCAACAACGACCTCCACTACAGCGCAGACCACACCCTCTATCACAGCAGCGGATACAACTGTCACTAACGGACCAACAGATGCAATCTCAACAAATACAGTGGCTGATTCAACCAAAGCTGCAACGACGGAGGCTCCAGTAACATCGTCCGAAGTAACGCAGTCTTCAGTAAGCCGTAATACTGTTTCAAATACTACTAAAGCAACGCAGACAACAGTTAGTTCAAATACCAAAAACGTCTACTTCAACTGAATCGTCCATCAGTTCTACTGACTCACCAGCAACCAAACCGCTCGTTACTGACGCACCAGCAACCAAACCACCCGTCAGTTCTACTGACGCACCAGCAACCAAACCACCCGTCAGTTCTACTGACGCACCAGCAACCAAACCTCCCGTCAGTTCTACTGACGAACCAGCAACCAAACCACCCGTCACTTCTACTGACGAACCAGCAACCAAACCACCCGTCAGTTCTACTGACTAACCAGCAACCAAACCACCCGTAAGTTCTACTGACGCGTCAGCAACCAAGCCACTCGTTAGTTCTTCGTAAGATACCGATACCAAAAGGCAGCCATAAAGAGAGAAATCAGTCCTTATGTTGAAGACGAAATATATTAAGGCCAAATCTTAATTTTATGAAAAAAATCCGTCCAGTGGATGAATTGGTCGATGTTCTTATGATACAGATTTGTCTTATGTACCTAATTGGCTGTCTTTGTAATTTGAACTTTTATTTATACATGGATACAACAGAGCAGTGCTCTTTATTATTTATTACTTATTTCCAATTGGAAATTTGCATTACCAGTGCGCAAATAGCAAGCATGCAATTTGGTCAGGATAGCCCACACATAATGACTTAATTCCAATAAGAATGAAGAATATTTTTATATATAATATACGTCGTGTGGATCCATTTTCTGGGAAAGAGAACTGAAACAGGAAAGTGCACCACTTGATAATTCAGCTTTAATTTCAGTTGATAAATCTCTAACGCTTATGTGATAATCTGAGTTCTAATAAAATGACATGCGAGTTTGATGGCACATAAACAGTTTAGTCGTGACTTTTTAAGTACATTTGGGTATTTACGACTTCTGGCGACGGAGATTCAGTCCAATTTCTCTGTTGGGTTTGGTTGTATTTCACTTCAGTCGAGTGCAGCGACCAGGGGTAGGATGGTGAGAAATAGTTATCTGCATGGTCTACTAAGATAGCATTACACTAAGTTAAGCTATGACAGTTAAATTATAAACATCAAACAAGCATGGGCGCGTTAATTAACAATATATATTTCTGATAATCATGATTTAAGCATATTGTAATACGAATTTTGAATAAAATATTTTCTTGAAATTGAATTCACGGGTTTTCCATCTCGGAACGGGAATTTACAAATGTTCTATTTATCAATATTTTATATCAAAGATAGCAAAAACACCTGAACCTTTTTTCCACCAATGTAAAAAATAATGGCTGTCGCAAGATTATGTATGTTACTGTTTTCCATTTACTCAAAGATATCATAAGGTGGCTTTTTGAACCCAACAATCCCGATTTAATTGTTAATAAGTAGGCGTGCAGTTGGATCCTGCAACTCACCTAAAGACATTCCCAGTTATCCTTATTGCATCTCCTTTAACTAATACATGCAAATGGAATTGCAAAGGTTACCTAAGATCTGATTTCATTTTATTACTCTCTTACACGAAAATGGTGATAGCGGTTTGGTAAATTGAAACAACAAAGACACAGAGTGTGGCCGGCTTTTAGGATAACTAAAAAAACAAAAATAGGTAAATGTCTGGCAAATTTAAGGAACAGGTCAAATCAATGCACTCATTTTAAGACATGGGATGCAGATGAGTCCAATCACCTAGTACTTAGAATTAAAGCACAGTGACTGGATGCTAGAGAGAAGGTCAATTTTCACTGTATCTGAATGATTCTCTTTAAATACACTTGAAGGCGTAGTTATTAAATAATTGTACACAGAGTAGGTAACAACTTCCTTTTGGGGGAATTCGCCGCGGGATTATGTACGGTGAGGCTGTAGAAGACAGTACGTAATTTAGTAATTTTCTCAAAAATTCTCTTCACTCTTTTCAAGATGTAGTTCAGTTCTTAGTTATCTTGAAGAGAAAGGGAATGCCCGCCTCCCCCCTCCCCTCAAGTGATGAATGACCTCATGGACTATGGAGATATGTCTATACCCATCCTAGTCATGCCAAATTTTGCTTAAGTAAACAACAACATTCTCACGCATTTTGCAGGTAATAGAAAATAAACATCTCGATTTTATTTTCAGTTTTTAATCTATTGTGCTTTATATTTATGTACGGTAATCGAAAGTGTTGCTGTTGTGCATGTGTATTACACGTTGCACCAAGACGCCTACCGTGAACCTTCTAAATTGACTAAAGCATTGATCAAACAGTCCAATTTCCCAGAGTTAGAACTGATTGTTTGCGAAAATGAAAGACTTTTTATGTATGTTAACTAGGAAAACATCCGACAACGTATAGAAGGGCAATCAGCTTACCCTTATTTTCTTTAAAACAGGAAAACTGCTCTTCTAACATCCCAAGTTATTTCTACGTTTATTTCAAGCTACAGTGTCATGATATCGCGGCTTAATTAAGAGGACAGTGAAGGTGTTTATTTATACGGTGACCGGGAGCGTGAAGTAGAATGCCTTGAAAGGAAATGGTAAAAAAATGTAGCAGTTTCTCACTTGAAGTGATGGGTATTCCAAACAGCAGCAATCAGTGCTTTTGTCGCACATCCTTCAAAATATAAGCAGATGTTTCTGAACACAGGATATTAAATCTAGGCTTCGTGTATCAGTCACCAAGTGCGTGCCAAGGGTAGAAATCAGAAACGATTCATTATATAGAAGGATAAGACCATAGTAATAATAATAAGATAATGCAATAAAACCGTCCAGTCTAGATGCAGAGGGCAAGGTGTGACAGTGTTTATTGTTCTACCCTCTAAATTAAGTCGATTTTGTAATTACTACGTGTCAGGCTAATTTTGTAAAGCGCCAAAGACTGTTTTGTAAGTACGCGAGCTTTGCCAATTAGTTTGCAGTTTTGTATTTATTTATGAGATATGCAGTTTTTTTTTTTTTTTTTTTTTTTTTTGTTTTTTTTTTTGTTATTTTTTCATCATTTTCACTTTTAATTGTCTATCAGCATTGCAACAAATTTACATGCATGTTTGTCCTTATTCGAAGGTAAAGAATGGCGTTTCTCTTAACTTTCTTTTGCAATCAGATGTGATAACTATCTGTGCAAAAAATGACGAAAAGATGCATAAATGAATATAATTTATCTGATTTATAAAAAGTATGCAGTTTATCAAAATCGTCAGATTATGAAATCATATTGAAAAGTTTCACTTTAGATAAGAGAACTCTTCCTTAATGGTATCCTTTCAAAACTCGGCTACAGACTTCTTAATGCATGTCAGAAAAAGCCTCGGTCTGCCTCTGCGTAAATAGACTATGCAGTATTCGAAAGGTTTACAGGGATGTTTAAACTTTTCTCAAATGTCTCCTGCCTATTCTAAGAGGAATGAACAATATATCAGAAAATGATGTTGAAATTCCTCGAATGTTGTTAGCCAAGAAATCCACACTGGGGCTACAGAGTCAATAGTATATCTTTATTTGGTGCCTGGGGAATCGTTGCCTCGATTGTAATTATGTCCGTGTCACATATTTTCAAGAAAGCATTAATTCAGTGAATTGAAAGGTTCATTATCAACATTTACGCCAACAATCGTAATTAGCTTTCTCACCAATAATATTATATTGTCACATATTATTAAGAACCCTCATACTAAATAAAACGTTTGGGACCTAATGACCTTTAGCCTCAGTATTATAGACGGTGGATTTTCATGTTAATTCAAAACCAAACTATAAAATTCAAGATATAAAAACAACACTGAATTCCCAATAAATATGAGATGAAATAAATGATAAAGACGACTATGACTGAGACTGATATCGATTATGACTGTTAAAAATTGTCATTTCCTTACATTAGGGCTTAATGAATCTGCCTCCATGACGTCATACAATAATTTTATGCTATTTAATCGCGCTTTCAGCTTTATTCACCTTTTGAACAACTGTTTATTAATTATTTTTTCTGTTGCGGTTCAGAAAAAATGCCCTTTTCATTTAGAGCTTTCACATCTGCGTAGCTGCAGATTTGCGTGCGTCCATGGTAATACGATACATATCATTCTTATCTTTACTTAATATGAAACCAAATGACGCAAATGAAAAGCAAAAGATGAACAAGAGTTAGCTTGACGTGAAATCAACACCTCGGCGGACTCAGCTGTTGAGGAGCTCCGATCTTATAGGGAAACCACCACATAGTGCATTAAACAGAAACTGCTACACATTAAACTAGTATTTATTGTTGTATTCTTGACTTCATGAATCATACTTGATGAGATTCATTAAACACATATCTGTCTCGGATTCGCACCTTCGGGTTTTTTTACAATGGCTCTGCTGGCAATAATGACATTTGTTCACGACTCAATATTAACATAACGACACTGAATTCCCAATAAATATGAGATGAAATAAATGACTACTACACAGTGATAAACGAACTAACACGGTGTATTAAGTATGCGCTGCACCTGAATCTGCACGAAATAACACGATCTGATGAAACATGCCTACAATGACAAGAAGGACTTGACGGTGCACCATTTGTTGAGCAGCGTGCATTATATTAAAACGCCACAAAGCCCTATGAAGTGCTGTGCTGAATAAAGGGTGCCGTGGGACGCAGAATTAAAAATATGTGGGAAACATGTGAATTTTCAATTTTGATAAAATAAAAACAATGCGCTATTGCTATATTCTTCAGTGCGAACTTTAGTGAACAATCGTCTTTTAACAGACGATATCGGAAACGCCCTGTGTTTTAAAACACTAATCTGCCTAATGCATCCGATTGATTGTGTTCCAAATGGATGCACCGACGTGCAGTTAAAATCGCAACGTATCTTATTACAGCATTCATGTCATGAAATCATCATTTTGCAAACACAATAGTAATGTAAACGCATAGCTCTATGGCCTAATTAAGATAACCCTTTCAACTGTCTGCCCTTCATTTTCGTTTCGATTTCGTTGATCAAAGGGTTTAAAGGTGATAAAAACACACCAACTGAGTGGAATGAATTATGTTGTTCTGTTGTTGTGGCATTGTTAGCAAGATTGCTAACAACAACCTTATATATTTGTAAATAACATTCATCATTTAGACATAGAAAAAAGTACAATAAATATAATAACAATACCGATTGCTAATGAATAACACTACAAAATAAAATTTAAAAAATTAATAAATTTAAAAAAAGATCATGGTCAAAAAGAAGATCTAAAATTGATAAATTACGGAAAAACTCTTTTGGTTACGTGTAAGTTAAAGAAATCATGCATTTCAGACGTTTCTGGTCCCTCAGACATAAATAACATAAGCTGTACTTTTGTACTATAGTGCAGTACCGCCTTCTTCAATATTTACAAATTGGCACTTAGCCCCATGAATTTCATCGCAACCGCGATCTCGGCATCACTTTTACAGGGAGGGTTTTACCCATACTGTATGTGGCTTCTTACTACTTACTTAGACACTTTAAAATATTGTGCTCAATACCGCAAAATAAATATGTTAAGACAAAATAAATTATTTGGCTACAATTTCACGCACAATAGTATAAATAACAAAACTTAGATTGACAAATTATTACAACGTTTAGCAATAAAATAATTATATCTGTGTGATATAGATATATACAATTTAATATATATTCAACCAAGAGTGTTAGCGCTAAAAATATTCACACTTTGATAATTAGCAACAAGTAAAAATTTCTATTCCATTCCATTTTATTACACTATATAGTAGGTACCATATATTTATAAAAACATTTAACTCGTCTTTTTTCATTTAAAAAGAGCCAGTGCTTTTTTTGTGGCAAATTAGGTTATATAAAGTCGCTATAGTCAACATAAAACGATTAATTCTCTTAGATAAAAAATAACCTCATTAACAACTACCTGTTTTCAAAAATAAGCAAGTGCGTATCAAAAAATCACCAGAGCAATTATTCGATACCTAGTCTGGTAAAGGATCCGTTTTCTTTTATCATCATGCATTAAATACATTTATCGAAAGTTAGTCATTGTATGTTCCATGGCTTTTCTACGCAGTGCAGCGATGCTTGTACCTCTCCACGCCTCGCTGATGTCTGGAATTCCTACAGGGCAGGAGCCCGGGGGGCTTGGACTGTGAGACAGGGGGGTTGAGCACGTAGTAACGGAGCTGTATGGCGGGCAGTACATGGAGGACCCGCCCGTGATAGAAGAGCTGGTAACGCTGATACCATTTGCCTGAGATACGTGATTTGGCGAGAGTCCGGTCATGGAGACGGTGGTCGCTAGACCTGGACCTAGGCCTTGACGGGGCAGGCTTGGTGGGAGGGTCAGTGAGCTTGGTAGCTGAGGCATTTGAGACATCTGTGTCATTCCATGCCAGCCCCGCCCGTCTCCCGTGTGGAAGCCACAGAATGAATCGTTGACAGTGCCGAAGGGGGACAGTCCGTGAGACGGCAAGAGGGCTCCCGGTGTTCGGAATACGTTGGTCGCCTTCTTGCGCTTCTTCCATTTCGCACGGCGGTTTTGGAACCAAACCTACAGAAACAAGACAAGAAAATCACATAATTTATTCTTCTTTCACATTGCTATCTCCTTTAACATTAGGTCAAACGTTTTTTTCTTTATTGGTCAATCTAGAGCACAGCGAATTATACTTAAAAATGTAGAAAGAGAGAGAGTGAAAGATAGAGAGAAATAAATAAATAAATAACAGAGCGCAAACATTTGTTCAGAAAGGGAATAATTAAAAGTTTCCAGAATAGATTAATGTTAACCTTATATTATTTTCCATCATTAACTAAATTATTCAAGACGAATAAAATATCTTGGAAGAGTTTATCATAGAAAGTTACTATTAAAATTATATAAACTCGCTTTATTAAGCACTCCTCCAAAGCCATTGGTTGTACTCGTTTATTATTTATTTATTGTCTTTTTAATCTCTTTCTTAACGCTAATCAACGCTGAAAATACCACAGTGATTCTCTGATTACGTCATCAATATGATAATTAGAAATAATAGGTTGATTACTGTATATAAACAAAGTGAGGAATCTCCGGTCTTTTTTGATTAATGCCTGCACGTTCCGTCGTGTGATTGATCCGACGTTTTATGAAGACTGCGTTAGTTTCCTGGCTAGCTTTTGATAAGTCATCTTTTTTCTCTCCTCATCAGAGATTTTATGATTATGGAGATGCCCGCCGACCTTGTGCCCGTGGCGTACGAACAACTGCTGATTAATGGTATGTGTAATTTACTGTTTTAAATTAATAAGGAGCGCAAGCGGGAAGCATTCGTGCAAGCTGAAGGCACAGGCTATTATCTCTCTTATTTTTCCGAGTGTCGTGCAGACATAATTACACTTTCAATGCATCAGCTGAGTCAATAACAATACCAATTATCCAGAGACAGAGCTGAAAAACTTGGGTTGATAAATGGAGTCCATTATCATCAATTTCAATTTAGTTTTTGACATACCAATTTCGACTGATCGGGCGCTTCCTTGTTACTTCGGCGCAGAAACTGAGGGCAGAGATTAGATTTCACAACTGAAAGGCATAATCAGCTACTAAAACAGACCCTTTTGGTTGATATAGGAGTCATACTAAATTGACAAAAACGAAAATGTCTCCATGTTAGTTTTATAAACGTTCAGCTTAGCAAACATTAATTTTCTTGCCGGTGATTCTTTAACAGACGTCGGCTCCAACGTGGTATTTACTTTTCTCTGTGCAATCACGCAAAACTGCTATCTAGCGGTTGCTATCAGCCGTCACTTTATCAGAGCAATTTTTTGGCAATTGGTTCAAATTAGGAAAATAATAGGAAAGAAATAGAATTCTTTCTCAACGACAAACTCGAGTATGAGCTTGTTTTCTTTTTTAAGACGAACTCAGCTAAGGAGGAGTTGTAAGGTATGATAAAAAGCGACAAAGAACTGATGTTATTACTTTTCATTGTTATTCTCGTGGAAAATATGCTTCAGTTCACTGATATCACCTCTGTTTTTCTCGTTCATTGTTTGAGTAATCGCTGCTTCTTCATTGATCCATTTTGCGGCGATCAGCTGTTTGAACGAATGTAGCATTTGCAGGAAAAAAATGTAGCAATATTTTAACACATCAATTTTATACGAACTCAATGCACATACACTTTGTACAAAAACCAGTTATATATGATAATCTGACGTTACCCTGACCTTCATCATTTCCCTGCAGAGACCAAGGGAATTCAGAAACTAATAGTCAATAAAGTTATTTTCAGTGGATAAGAAGATCGATTTAAAAGACAAAACAAGGCATATTATGGAGTGGCCAGTTGCTTGGGTGTTACTATTGACTTTGCCTTCTAAATTACAATTAGCAGATTGACACATCAAGAAAAAATAACACGATAAGATTTTTAGACCGGCGGAGATTGCCCAGGCTATTGTACGTTCTTTTACAAGATATATATGTATTCCTGTTGTAAAAATAAAAAGAAAAAAAGAAAAAAATAACATACCTCGAAGACCAATTAAAATGTAAGTGTAAACATATTCACCAAGCCACCATCATAGATTTGATGTGATTAAAAAGTATTCTGATTCACTAGATGGTGAACATGATAAAAAAACAACGCTCCTTGCAAGTAAAAATCACTCTACGTCCTGCTTTTTTTCTTTATTTCTGTTAATTCTGAGTTTTATGTTAGTATTTCAGACTAACATCTTGCCGGTAGTGCATCGATTCATGAAATCATAATCATGTCGTTATACAGCTGATAAGTGATGTCAGTCAAATTTTAAATCAGAAACTAACACACATCTGAATTTTAGCATTCAGTTTTTTTTAAAAAACAGAAGTTCTGCAGTGATTCAGAATGTACACTCTTTTATGGCTTTAATTAATTTTTGACATTCTTATTTACACCGGATACCATTTGAAGTGGAAAAATTCTCTATTCGACGTACCAGTAATTTCCATTTCATTAGTCCTGAAATAAATATAGTAATACCAGGAAAAATAGTTTCACTGGATCTGTTAACAATTATATTGTTAAGTATTCACAAACATAAGATTCATATTACATTATGGATCTAACCTTAATAATTTATTTCCAAAATAAGAAACCCGTAACCACCATAGGTCTAATAAATCCTTTAACACAGTATTACATATTCCAAGCTTCATGTATAACAACAATTTCGAGATAATAATGCTTGACACTTTTGTATCATTCTAGAGCTAGTTGTTATAAGGAAATTGCAAAAAAAAAAAAAAGGACTTCAGTAGAGGATTCTATTAAAATATTTGAAGAGGAAGCAAGGAGCGGATGACAGGGGTTAATGTCTTCTTCGCTATATATCAGTAAAAGAAATTAATAGATATTATTAGTAATATGTAAAGAAAAACCTTGCTTATTTTCATTCTATTGTCTCTTGTGGTGTAGTTTAACAGATTACTCGCCACGTGAGCAGTTTGTGCAACTGATTTGTTTCTTGTTCATTTCTTTTACTATAGAAATATGGACGATGGCGATTTATAACATATTAGCGCAAAGCTACTCGATATATTCATCATACGCACAAAATTGTGAATATAAGCAAAAATACGAATACGGTTGAAAACAATTTTAAGTTTCAGTAGCTTTACCAGTGCATCCTTAACAATTTCAACGGAAATCCGAAGTCAACGCGAAGCATGTTATCGTAAAGTAAAGGTGTTTTTGTCCCATAGTATGAAATAACGACATCCGTTGTTATGGTTAAAGCTGAGAAAATATCAAAATTTTAGCACATCTGTTTGTGCAGTTGAATGATTATAATTAACACACTGTTTCTGGCGAAAGGAGGAACATAACATTGAAGTAAATATTCTTATAGTTACTAAGGTTTAGACTTTTTCTATGGTTTCAGATATTCACTTTCTATACATTGCTTGTTGCTATCTTGGACATTTTTTTTTTTTTTTTTGCATCATAAGTCGTCGAGGGTCGCACCGGCCATGGTACGAGAGAGAGGGAGAGACTTCAGACCAAGTTACGTTCTCGTCGTATATCCTCCCAGTCTAGATTCTCGTCTATTTTGAAAAATTATGTTATTAAATAATTTTCCTGCAAAATGAATCAATATGTGTATCAGCCACAATTTTGTTCGAACTTCAAAAACACGAACAAAGTTACAGGGTATTTTAAGAATGTATAACTTCTAAAATGTATGCAAAATCTTAAATTGACATGTTTTGTATCTCATTGAGACTGATCAGATCTCGCAAATATTTAAATGTCGAAAGATAGATTGATTAAAAGGATTCTAAACCAGTGTCGTTGAAAATACAAGGAGTGACGATGCCGTATGTGAAGCACACATTGTAAGAGCCTTTGCCCACAATAAACACGGCAAAATGTCTACTCCCTTATTGCTACAGAACTTGAATATTTGCAGTTTGTTTAAGAGAGAGAGAGAGAGAGAGAGAGAGAGAGAGAAATTTATGATAGTCATTTGAAACTTGCCCTGATATAGATTGACTTGGCAAATTAATCAGATCAGATTACATAGTAACCTCTCTTTTACACATGTAATGTAAAACAATCAGAAAAAGCATGCAGAAAAAAAATTATTGCTTATATTTACATGTTCGATATGGCAAACGGCAGACTTACTATACAGTCTGGCTCACCGGCCTAATCTATTGTCCTTTAAATTACAACAGCATAAGTACACGATATAAATGATCTAATAAATACACGACATATGGGATCTTTTGACACGTCATGTCTTTTTTGATCCTCTGTGTTTTGCCCCAGAGGCCGTGCACTGAATAGATTTCTATCATACTGCAGTTTGACACAGAAGTTATGCAGAGACCATCTTCCACCTCAGATTTACCCTCAAGCAATGAAATTCTAAACCTCAAAGACCTGCATTTTGAAATTTGCTGGCAAGTTGTCACCTGCAATTCATTTCGTAGTTAATGGCACTATGCTTCACCAGGAATATGCTTACGTAGTATCTATCTATGAATCTATAGGCTATAACTATTTATCTGTCTAAATGAAAAAAGTTTATATTAGCCACATTTTAGAAAACGCAACTACATGTATCACCATGTTTGGCCCTTCAGCCCAAGGGACTCATATTTTCAAATTATATATATTACCGCAGCGGCATCTTTTAACACCCGTGAAACTAATTTTGCATAATAGATACACGTTTTCGATTTTTACAGTTCAACACAAAAATCTTTTCCCTTAAGATTACGCCTTAAGATTACGTATAATTTGTTGGTCGTTAACTAAACTGAATCCAATAAGAAGCATTAAATATTAAGCATTGAAAAAATATTTATTTTATTTACGATATATATACAAGTTACCTCCCGAACTGTTAATAGAGAAATATCAACTCTTCATAGTAGTTGCAATTTATATATGAGCGGTTGTTGACAACAAAATGCATTTTAAGTTTTTAAATAACGTGTCGGGTAAATAAAAAAAATTACATTGTAATCAGTACCTTTCCTCCTTAGGAATAAAAATCTATCCGAAGCAAAGCGGCACTGGATAAATACTAATGAACAACACATCTAATGGAACTATTTCATGGATGCCATTTTTTAAAAATTCTTTTTGGTGCTAAGCAGTGGAATTACTTATCTTTAATCTGATTAAGCACCGCAAGTATTCCACATTATAACATGCACGATCGATGGAAAACCATTTCTGAATACTCAAATCACAAAAGCCAATAGATCGAAGCGTGTCATGTAAACTTATGAAAACCTTTGCATATGAATGTAAAACCTCTGCCTTTGGTAAATCGGTATAACCACACCAATGTCATGTTGCGGGGAATTTTTTTTAAATAATTCACTACACCACAAATAATCTTTGCCATTTAGAGCATACCTTTAACGGAAAGATGAAACATGTTAAGAGTTTAACACAAAAACATGGGGTCCTCTTCATAAATGACGATTATATATCACTACACGCCGCAATACGAACTAAAAAAGGGCCAGATGGCATTTAAAACAGCAAATAAATAAATAAATAAATAAATAAATAAATAAATAAATAAATAAATAAATAAATAAAAGATAAAGATATAAACAAATAATTAAATATGAGAAAAAAAGAAAGAAAAGAGGAGCTTATTTGCAAATGTATCCAATATTCTTATTTTTCTATAGCTCGACCAGCTCTTGTTCAATTTATTCCACAGCCGCCACTCTTTCAAATTTTATTGTTAATATCATCAAGTCCCTGGGCAAAAAATGTACAAAATATGCCAATATTTAATAGAACAGAGCTTGGTGAATTTCATTTGCACGACATGGTCTTGTCCAGGGTCCTCGTTGTCTCCAGTGCAGTTGTTGAAGAGACTTAGCCAGTGTGAACACCAAGATCAGTGTGCGAACATCAAGAACAAAAGAAAAAATTGAAAGGTGAAAATCAAATTGCATGTCGTAATATAATTGCCTCAGTCACCTTATTCTCCGTGTTATACTAATCCTTTTTTATTTTTTCTTATTACAGTAATAAAACCCATTTTAGTATGAAAGACATTGAATTTTTTTCGCTGTATACCTTGTACGCTGTTCTTTTCGTTTATTTGTTTATTTATTGTTTTTTGTAAATATTGCAAAGTTTTTCGAGTTCTCTCTCTCTCTCTCTCTCTCTCTCTCTCTCACACACACACACACAAACACACACACACATACACACAACTTAATAAGAGTTAAAAAGAAATGCTATTTATGATGACTGCGTACTTGGGAGCCAGAATTTCGTTTGTTACAAATGTTATTGTAAGGTTACTTAAATTGAAGCAGAATGCACGTTTTGAGAGCTAGAATGTTGGCAACACTATTAATTTACCAGACTGGGCTCCATTGTGAACCAAAATATACGCGGTTTATAATTTATTTTATTTATTTTTTCATCAAACGCAATCCCTTTTTCTTTGACGGTCGAAATATAAAACCAGTTGTTTTATGCCTACCTGCACCCTAGACTCGGTCAGACCTATTCTTAGTGCCAGTTCTTCCCTCATGAAGATGTCTGGGTAATGGGTCTTGGCAAAACTTCTCTCCAGTTCATTCAACTGAGCGGGGGTGAAACGTGTCCTGTGCCTCTTCTGTTTTACGGGTTTTTCGTTCTCTGGTCCGCCGACGGAGCTTCCTCCGCTGCTGTTCTCGCCAAGTCCGTGCGCTTCCTCCGAAGACAGGCCATTCTTTCCATTATTGTAGTTATTATCGCGATTCGAGACTGAAATGGAATGTTAATGGAGTGATATTGAAGTCAACCGTGCATATAAATACAATAGAAATACAAAATGATTTGATTTTGCTCGAAAACAGCTAGATTGATAAAAATCGTGCTTTGCTGACTTACGGCAATCAGCTATTGTGATTTAATTTTGCGTCTGATTCGCACTCAATCAGGTCTGAAAATGATAATTAAATCTCACGATATAAGGCAAAACTGGTAATCAAATCTCATGGAATAAATTTAATAAGGCCTCATATATATTAGCCTATCATGTCCTTGCAAGAAAACAAGATGTGATTTACCTTATTATTCGTATTATTGATATTACTGAGGCCCTTTTATGATCTACTTACCGTTGTTAACCGGTGGCAGCAACATTTCAGGAGCTTTGTGGTTTAGAGAATTACACCCCTCCATGTTCGTAAGGTTTCTGAGCTTTACTTGCGTTAAAAGCTGTCAAATATTCGATGCTATGTACTGCGTTACTCTGGCCTTCAATCATGTCCGACAAGGACAGCCCACTTTCACTATTAACCAATCAGGATATGACAAACCTCTGCGCCGAGTACACTATGTATCACACATGTTTGCGACCTACTGTCGCACCTTCATAAACTGATTGTTTTTATTATACCCATATAAGATACAGTTATTAAATCTCTGCTTTGATGTCGGTTAAGTAATTGTCAGCTTAACTGAGAAATTGAGTTGCCTCGGTTCATTCTTTCAACTGTTGTCTTTTTACTGCCTCCGTTCATTACCGCTAGGCAAATGAATTGGACGCAGAAAAGCTTTTGATTTCGATAGTTAATCATGAACATAATGTATTTACAGTCAATTTAACGTATAGATATTCATTATTTGGATAATGCAATCGCACGCATCGAACACAAGCATGAACACTGGTTAATAAAACAGCTTATATGTGTTGTCAGTACAATTGAAACTTTAAGCATATGATTGTGCCTTTTTTAAATATTTCAAATGCAGGTTTCCACCAGTAGGGATTTCTATTTGGCCAAACATTTACTGCCCGTAGACATTTAATAGGGCATTTTTCTAACTCATTTAACGTCGGCTTCAACACACTCGACATAGATCAAACATTAAAAAAAAAAAAAACTATTTACTATATAGGCACCAATATAAGCACCATCAAATGATCACCGCAGTGATCATAAATACGGAACAAAAACAAAAAACATCATTTAGACATACGAGTCGAGCAACATTTCATATAAATGTTTGAAAAGAAAATGCGTCTTATTATCGAAATCTGCAATAATTTGAAATGTGGGCATGCTTGCACTACAGGAGAGATTTTCTATGAAATACATATAGCTCAACTTTGCACCTTTCCACCAATATAGAATAACCATATTAAGACAATTTCATGTTGTGTTGCCTCATGCAAATTTGTTGTCAAATTTTAGAAAAATCTGATATTTTGTTTCACGAAAATTGAAAACTGAGTCTTAAAAAAAATCCGATGCGTCGCCATTGTATTTTGACAAATGTGGGAGCGCATTAAGATTATAGTTCCTTTTTTCCACATTGTTAAATGTTATTTGCATCTGTGTGGCGCATAAAAGCCTACTGAAATAATGGAGTTCATTCCACTGATCAAAAACTGCTCTTTTTGCTCCAAGTAACAAAGCCAGGGAACTGTTCGGTTGGCTTGTGGTCCTAGGTGAGCCCAAGACTTGGCTTGAGACAAATCAAGAAAAACGTATATTCATAGCGTGATTTTGACTTGGGAATTCAATAAAGTGATGTTCTATGTTAACTAGAAAACATTTTGAGACGTCAATATTCTAACTTTTCGCTAGAATTCCATAAACAGATTTTCGTAACATATAACAACAGAATAAAATGTATTGACGACGACAGCTGTTTGCTAGTCTTGGCACGTATCCACTGCAGAAAGTTTCTCGGAATTGATTATCCATACCCAAATAAGGTTAGTTAGCCTTCAACACCAAGGACAAAAATCAATTTTGTTTTTGTTTTTTATTAATCTTTTAAAAATAGATCCCTGGCTATCGTCACTTTGGTTTACTTTCGTGGAAATCTTTGCAAAGAGAACAAGCGCGAGGTATGAATAATGTTACTTGTGCAGTTGCCTTATATGCAGAAAAAAAACTTTTTCTTTTTTTCTGTTCACCACTAAGACGCTGAACACTTCCTTCGTTATTTTAATAAGCGTGTAGGTTCACACAAAATAGCCAGATAGAAACCTTCTTTCAGTCGGAGGAAGATGACACCAATATGGATTTTTGTTAGGTAGAAATTGATTTGTGGTTCAACCTGTTCAGAGTTTGGTACAGGAAAAGTTGATACTGGAAAAGGATTGTATTCGTTTACATTAAAAACATCTGATTGTGAGAGATTTCCTATATATGCAAGCGCTGTCTTTTTAAATTTAAAGAGATAGTCTAATAGACAAATATGCATCAAAGGGACATTGTTTTTAAAATTTCCGCTTTTCTTGTAAATGGATAACTCGGATGGAATATTGTCTGATTACAGAAAACATATACATATATTATATATTATATATATATAATATATAATATATAATATATTATATATTGTATATGTCTAGCAGGCGGAATAAAATGCACATCTTGAGAATAAACTATATTTCTTCATTTGTTTATCTGTTACACATTATTGTTCTTCAATTCATGGATTGTATGATTAAAAGAATCTTCAATTTAGCAGATTTAATCAGTAAACGGTGTGTTCTGAATACTGTAGCCCTGTGGCTATATCCATACACTCCTTAACGCCATCATTGCACCTCCAGAATACAGAATATCGTTATCATCTCCAATAAGTTTGTTTAATGAAACAGCAACTGCACACACGATCTACATAAAAAAACCGCTTTGTTCGCGTTCACAACTCGGTCAGTCCGTATTGCGTCTCAGCGAGCGTCTCTGTGGGGCCCAGTCGTGTCACACTGTGCCTCGGCTAACCTCGCGTGCATTCGACGCAAAATTAAACAATAGTTGTCGGGGGGAAATGCGAGTAAGTAATTGTTTATACCGAGCACGTGGACGATGAAAGACGCACGGCAGGGGCTTAATGACGGCAACGAGTCAAGCACTCCGATATAAACACATAGCTTTATTAGAAGACCAGAATCAAAGGAGTTGATCATGCTGTAATTTGTTCCTTCATTGTCGCATATTCCGCACTCCTATCACTTTAAATTAGTTTTCAGGTATCATCATTGTCATTATCATCTGAAGACGTGCAGTGTATTTAGTCTAAATATGATTCATTTTGTAACATTTTTTTTTGCCTTAATTATTTGAATTTTTATTTTTGATGCTAACAATTCCAAACATTAGAAAAAGAAACACGGTTAACGATCATGTGTCTTACATCTGAATGGAGCAGCATCAGTCAAATAAATACATATAAACGTACCACGATATATATACTTCGTATTTTAATGTCTCAGAAAGGCCTGGACTTTAGTTTTCGTGCAGCAGCAACAGCAACGCCAGGCAGAAGGCTTGTCACACTAGCGCGTGGATTTTTCACACCTCCAAAACAGGCTGTGTATTGCGAGCGGCTCCAACACCTGCAGCAACTTCTCGCAAACGTCACCTCGGCCAATTTAGCACGCGAAAATATGTTCCTCAGTCAATTTCTTTCTTACCTTTTCTTTCAGGTTGTTTGTGTAAGGCACGCGACGAGAGCGGGTGTTGTCACGGTGAATGCAAGTCACACGTGGATATTGTTTCATAATTGAAAAATTGGAAGAGACTTTGACCTCCTAAAGGTTGCCTCAAAAGCTGCATTCATGATAATATTCACTGTTTAAAACGGAAGAATAAAAAGAATACAGAAGATGTACTCTCAAGTGGTAAAACATCTAGGTAATCAAATTTAGGTTTTGTTTGTCACCGGTCATAGAAGCAGATGGTCGAGAACAGCATGGAATTCTTTTAAGTTGGAGCATGATACTTCCACCGTGCTGTGCTCCATAAAAGCGCATCTATTTCTGGAGTAACACAGTATATAAAACAGAACAGAGACCAACTTCATCGAATGAATATAAATTTTTCCATGCAAAATGAAGAAAAGTGTTCTTTTCTAATCTTGTAAATAATATAGTAATATATGCTTTTATGGTAGGTAAAAGAAAATATATCAATCAAACCTTTGATTTATAACCGGACAATGTTCTTACAGAATGATTGTTCTCTAATTAAGAAGTTTGTTGTCTTTAAACAAAAAAAAAAAAAAAAAAAAAAAAAAAAAGAATTACTCTATTTGTTAGAGGATATGTCCAGACTTCTCATGAGTACTTGAGATTTTGTCAGGTAACTAATATCCATCGTGAAGGGGTAGATTACGTCCCATATCTCTCTACATGTCGATCATATCATGGAATGTTGATGGAAATATATGAAAAAAGTCAAAAAGGGAAAGTTGGGTTTGCTTTGAAATCAGGACGCTAGCTAATGACTACAGAACACTGTTTTAGGTGACATGATAACCAAAAAGACTGACGGGTAAAAAATGTCCATCAGCATGGCTGTAGCAAAATTGAAAAATTCACTGCATTACCTGATACTCACTTATTGCTGATGAGTGAGTTGACAAGGCAGTGTTTTGGATGGCTAGCTTTGTCACTGTTCAAACTCTGACTAGGCTCCTATCGAGAACAACATGATAAGTATCGAGGTAACAGACTTATGCTCACGCAAACCGGCCTTGTCCAAAGAGCAAGAGATAGACAATGAATAAAATAGCATTAAGTTAAGAGAAAACGCAGATGAATGGGAACCACATTCTTGACGTAAATCTTTCAGACAAGGATTGTCACAGGAAGACAATAATGTTGCTTTCACTTAATGCCACATCGTTCATGCCAAATATAAATATATTGCTATATTATGGTGAGTCGTTGTCGGAAGCCTTAGGCAATCCGTTCAGTTGTCGTCTTTTTTTCTCCCCGTAGAAACAAAACAGGATTCAATATTAGCTCAAAAATTTGACACGCACTGACCACACTCCGATGGATACCATCAGGCCAGTCCATCACAGCTGGAGCATATGACAGAGGATTTTTACAGCAGAACTTACCGTACCAGAGTCAAGTATAAAAAGAAAATACTACAGACATTTATTGTAGAACAACACATTCAAATTGAGAAGCGATAAAATCCTGATTATTTAGCGTCCTCAGAAACCGTGCCAGTTTTATCACTGCTTTAATGTCACAGGTGCACGGGATGTACAGTGTATGATTTCACGATTGTTATACACATAAGAAAAAACTTAATATACATCTGAAGCACTAGAAAGGTAAGTAATGCTGTGCATAAGGGCAACCTACCAAACACAAAATTCCAAGTGTTTCAAATTTTTTTAAATTATACAACCTTTGTGCAGGCAAGAACAATGCTTAAAAAGGCAGAGGACTTTTGTTGGTTTAAATCTTCTTATCCACTTTGAATATAACATTTGTTTTTATTTTAAATGGGATATCGCGTCTTTTGAAACAAATGATTTTTACGTTTCTGTTTATTCAGTAGACCTATGTAGCATTTTAGACGAAGTAATATTGCTCATATACACGTAAACGTTCCCACTAAACATTCCCTTCTGATCATGTAACTAAGCGCTTCTAAGCCTAGAACACGTTTTAGAGTGACGGTCTATTAAAAAATAATAATAAAATTGCTGAGGACGCTTGAAAATTCAGTTAACAATATTTTGGGAGCAAAAACCGGGTATGTATTTGACTGTTTTGTTACAGCATCCGTCACAAACCATTCTGAAGATTAATTTTCAACAAAATTAGAAGTTAACAGATATTTTTCATAAATTACAAATCTTGGAGGAAACAGGAAATAAGAACTTTCGTGATTGGAAATTGAATCATAATAACTTATCAGCATATTCTCTGTAAAAGACATGATTTTTTTTACTGTAAATAAAGATATTTATTATTGATTAGAATACATATTGTGTTTAAAAGGATAACAACTCTTCTTATGAGATTCATATTTCACAATAGATACATTGTAAACAACTCACAGAAATGCGATAAATTATTTTTTACCAGGAAAACGGGGGTTATGAGAATTATTCTGGATGGATACCCTCTGTAATAATCTCTGAGAGATTATTACAAAAAATAAACTTTGAATATCGGAACGGATTCATTAACCATTGGTAAGTATAGGAAAATATTCGTTTATCCCAGGAAAAATACGTTTAGCCAAAATGAACAGTTACTCTCCCTTTATATGACCTTGATGTGATTACAAGTAGACCAGTGATTTAAATTGTTATTACGATAGAATGCACTTTGCAGAATATTGAGCATGCATTTATATTGAAACAATAAATATTATCTGACATCTTTGATAAAGTATCAGATGGCCTATTTTAAATGACAAAAAAAGCTGATATTAGGTTTACATTATTTGAAATAGAGGTAAATTCATTTCCTATCTTTCCGATGAGGCAATATAAGTAAGGGACATTTTCTGGCTACATTTTTTAGTTTAGTGAACACGTTAAAGAAATAATAAAAAGGCATTCTGATATTCATAAAAAAAACTGTATCTCACCTCGTCAACACGAATGGCGGAGTGACAGATTCCGGAGTTGTCACGAGAGAACGAAATGAGTTTTCACTTGAGGAAATTAAAAAGAGTGGGAATGATTGTTTGTCAGAATAATAAGTAATAACGTGCTTAAAGAATCACCACTTAGTCTATTACTTGGAATATGTTTCACCTTACTCTAGAATCTCATAAATTGGGAGGCTATTTTTTATTAGTCATATTTCACAATAAGTAAAATGTAATTCCAAATTCAAATTGTTTTAAATGACTAAAAATTCGAGACCGATTAGATGTATTGACAATCTTGATTACAGTGAAAGTGTTTCAGTTAGAGAAATGTTCATTTCAAAGACAACAATTGTTTATTTTTCCAAATACTACCTATTTTCTAATGCCAACAGGCCTCAGATCTACTCATTTTAATGTTTTAACGTTTGCGACTGCATGAGAAAAAATCTGCATTCGATTAATTTATCTGTGCTTTGACCGTAAAGCTTAATAGAATAAAAGCCTTCATGACATGTAAGTATTTTTGCCATTTATTCATTAAGGGAAAACTTCCGCCACTTCCTTGCGCATCCGACAACATTAACATCTCGTCTTGCAGACTAAGGACGGAGCCATGAAAGCAAGCAATCGGGCGCATCTCTCTCAACCAACAACCTTACTATAGAAGCAAAGTGTCTATTTCACGGACTATGGTCCCAGTCAGGTTTCTTTAGACACCTGGGAGTTTCTTCCGTAACTTGACGTGGCTTGTTTCAAATTACCTTTCTCAGTGAGGAGCCGCCATAATTGCGAAACGCACCGTGCTGCATTTAAGACAATCAACAAGAGTAACGCGCGCTGTTTAATGCGTATTCCTATTGAGTCTACCTAGTACATAATTAACGCTGAGCACATTCAATAAATCCAGTAATCTCCGAAGATAAAGGAAGCGATCAAATACCAAAATGTAAATAAAGTTCACCATAAAAGCAATCATAAATAATGAACCTTATCCAGTCTATTTATCAATTAAGGGAACAAAAAGCAAAATTTAGCGCTTGCCTTTCATATAAAAGCAATGATGCGGAGGTTTCCGATTGAAATGACGTTATGCGTCTGACTGCTAACAAGATAGTGGAGAGATGGATGATTTTCCGTGTTACAATTATAGGACGTCGTCCGCTATTCACTTACAGCGATACAGACAGGACTCGCCACACCGGCGTAAGTTATTGGGATCCAACAAACTGTTCGGCATGGAAAAATGTTTTTTATGGTTGGAGGACTTCAGAACAATGTAGTGCCGTTTTTACGTGGTGTGTGTGTGTGTGTGTGTTTGTGTGTGTGAGAGAGAGCGAGAGAGATTACGAGAAATAACCATCATTTAAGGATAAAAAATTAACCTATCTAAATAAGAAATGCTATGAAATAATCTCTGGAGAATTTCAACCGACATTATGTTGCAAGATTTGTTCTAAAACAACAAACGCTGCATTCCAAACTACATTTACAAAACATTAATTAAATGGTCATGAGACTCATGTTGTACAAATAAACGTAAATGTGTGTGTGCGTGTGCACGCGTGTTGATACAATGTAATAATTAAAAGATTATAAAAACAGACCAGAGTGAAGTACATCCCTCAAATACTCCGTTGCACACTCTCATTTCTGCAGTGTAGCTCTCTCTAGAATAAAATTTCGTAACTTCTGTAACATTTTTAATCTACACATCCAACTGGAAGAATATAAACAAGGCAGCACAACAATGCCTACACCTTTATTTATTAGTGAACTGACCATTAGTATAGTTGCAGTTGACAAAAAAGGAGTTATTTTAACAATATCTGTGCTACTGATCATTAAATTTTGTTTATTGATTGATTGTTTATTGATGAATGCCAAAGAAGAAATAATATAGATACCACAACAATAGGAACACTATAATATCACATAAAAAGCTGAATTCCTCGCACAATGCAATAAAAATACCAGGATGCATGTATGTTATTTCTATTGTTTATTAACCATGGGGATGAAAATAATTAATGAATACGTCTCTATCACTGGACTGATAATATTTGCATTTCAAAAGCCTATCTGTATCTAATATCATCTCCCTATGGTAGTGAATTTGCAGCTTAATACCTTCTACCTTTTAAATTCTGACTTTAAACCAATGAAAAACTCATTAATAAATGAAAGAATTGTCCCAGTTTTTCAAGCTCAATCTTGCCAGGGTGTGTGGAGCACTTCAGAGATTACACTCATAAAGATAGTAGAAATATCCTATGACATCACTTTTTCACACATCGGTTCCTTTTCCACTTATTTCTCATGCATTACTAAATTTAATTTCCTCACTTCATATGAAAATACTTTGTTTTTAAAACTTCATGGGAATCGTCCAAGATAGTCCAAAGTGTTGTGACTTAAAGAGAATTCAGGGGATTTGAAGAGAGGGGTCAGAAATAATGACACACAAGAGAGTGCAGTGTCTCAAGGAAAAAAGCTGACAGAATTCATATAGTATTTTTTATTTTTTTTGGGGGGGGGGGGGGATTTTGCTCTGTAGAAAAACAGGCTTTTGCACAACAGTACATATCCACCATGTTTACGTAGCGTGTTTCTTTTGTATTGCTTCAAAAGACAACATTCTCAGCACAGAGTGTTTCACCCTTAATGTTGGAAGTTTAGTCCCATATCTTGCACATTTTTGCCCATTTCTAGTCTTGAATGATGTAATGCACAACAGTGTTGTTGTGCGCTATTTTGGATGATTCCCATCCCTTCTATTTTGACTGTATGTGAGGCTCTTTATTTGTTTTTCAAGTCGAATGTCAAGGATTATGTTTTCTCCTTGTAGTCATTTCTTGGAAATGGCTTAACGAATAGTCCATGATGGCTGCGTCATCCATCAGTTTCCTCTTTGCTGCAGCAACCTGTCTATAGCGTCATTCACATCCCCATATGTGGCAATTAATGCTGTGTCAAGAAAAACATATCAAGTTGTAATGGTGATTAACAAATCCAGGATTATTTCAATGAAGAGGTGACTATAACTAGGTTATTATTAGGTTTCCTGAAAACTACGTAAATTTTGTTTTTGGTGAGTTTGTTATTAAGCAAGAAGTACTTCCTATTTCAAAAAATTTCATTCAATTAAAAAAAAGAAAAGTTTTTTAGGCAATTCACTCAATTACCGTTAAATGTAGTTAAAACTATAGCTAGTTGCTTTTACCTTGTATATTTGCCTCCCTGTTTATAAAACCCATTGCAGCAAGTTGTTCCAGTTGTGAGGCATACCGCTGCTCTGGGGCAGTATTCTAAAGACAAAAACACAGTGTTAAAGAAAATAATATCAAAATATCAACTTAATATAGTTAGCAAAAGAACTGCACCTGAATGTGTAGTTTTGGATCCTTTTCTATACACTGAGAGTTCCTTTTGAATTTTTGCCATACCTTATTTTATATACCTGATATTCTTTCATGCAAATACTAATCCTAAGTTCCCCTGTTTCTCAATATAAAATAGGGCTCTGTTCTCACAACTTTTAGATCGATCTATCACCGCGGGGAGTCTCACTAGATTACTGTCAGATAATCCCCCTTAAGTGTCCGTCCCCGCCTACTACAAGCTTTAAGGGGTAATTAACTTTCGTGTCCGCCCGGCTGACAGCTATTTAGCGTGAACCCCCAGGGAGTTAGGTCGATCCAATGTAGGTCGATCTAATCTATGAGAATGGGGTGTAGGACATTAAAATACGAAACTAAATTTAAAAATCCCTGAATACAAATAATTTTTTTTGAGGTTTAATGCACCACTTAATATGTATGTAAGGGAAAAAAAAGTTAAATTTTATGTTAAAATACTATGCAGTTTTAGCGGCAATTTGAAAGTGGTTCCCAAATAAATATTGTATTCATAGAAACATGGCTAGCTAACATTGTTAGTAACAATTGCTTAGAGGTCTTAAACTTAAAATACAGATGAAGTGCAATAAATAAAATGCCTGTCATAAGATCTTATTTATAATAATACATTGGATATAAACTTCACAGTCACATAAAAAACCCTAAGCATGAATAAACTTACTTTACAGACACATGTATCTTTAAGTTCAATGGTTCTCTAATTGTTTTTTTTTCTGCATTTTGTTTTCAGAGCAGCTCTACTCACCAAATCAGCCCCTCCTCCTTGCCCTTGTGCCATCATTCCTAGCATCTGCGCCATGAACCCACCCAGGGGATCGGCACCCCCCTGCCCTGGCAGACCACCAGAGGGCGTGGCAGTGTTGGCCGGGGCTCCTGGCGATGTAGTGGGCATGGTACCACTTGTTGCTGTTGTGGCAGTTGTTGATGTTGTTGATGTTGTTACCGTACTTGAACCAGTTGTGCCACTGTTAGTTGACCCTGGTATTGTCATGGGGGGTGGTACTGCCCCTGCTAAACCCATGCTTAAAGATACAAAAAATACCCATTAGATTTGACTGAAAAAAAAATGTCATATACATGCAAAAAGGCACTTGTATTAGACATTACATGACTTATCACTGGATACCACAAAAACTTTTGAAACCGTTACAGCTCAGCTTAACCACAAAATAAAATCACCTTCTGCAATAGAGGTCTCCATGTAAGAATCAAATTATATTCTAACCACAACACATCCTTCTTTTGTTCATTTTGTGGTAATATGGCAAATTTGTAAACATTTCTAAAACTCATTTCAATTTTTAGGGGGATGGGCATCCAATCTTCAAAAACAATATTTCTTTTTAATGAAAATGACAATGTGGTCTCTGTTATAGTCATAATAAAATCAATAAAAATAGCTACTAACCCTGGGAGAAGTGAAGGGGACTCAGCCTGTAGAGTCTGTAATCCTTGCTGAATCTGCATGATTGCTTGAAGTGCTCTGGGGTTTGTCATAACATTTTGTACTTCTGGATTCTGCATCTAAAATGATTGGGTTTAACAGCTATTAGAGACACCTGGGTGCATAGTTCTTACAATATCTGTGTATTTATATTAATATGTTGCAACCCCAGAAGGGGAAAAAGTTATTTTCTGTACGCATGAAGTTTTTGATGGGGGGAAATGAATAAATACTTGAATAGCTGTTGTAGATTTATCAAAGCTTGAAGTGAAAATATAATTGGACTTGGTCAAATGTTTCATAGCATCTTAACCTCACAAAATATTACTTGTGGTGTTGTACCTATTGGAGGTCTTTCTGTCAACCAGCTTATTTGAATGAGGTGTTAAGTTCCCTTATTTGCACTGACTGTTTCAGCCAACCAGGTTCGAGATAAAATGACAACTCCAGGTGATATGGTCATGTTTTCTGCCATAAGCTGGCACCTCACTTCCTTACAATTTACCACAATCTACAGGTGTTTGGGAACTTGCCAACACACTCACAGCCACTGTGGTCTCTGCTTTGAAAATCTGATTAAATTAGGCAGGGTATTCAGTACATTCAAAATCAAAGTCATGTAATAAAAACAATGACGATTGCATTTGGCTGGTGTATCTATCTATCCAGGCAATGGGCATCATCTGAGACTTAAGTTTAAACCAGGGATTTGGAGAAGAGTGGGATCAGAAATTAAGACAGACCAGCGAGTGGGGTGAAGCAACTAACAAAAGCGGACAGAATTTACCCACAAATCTATCTATAGATCTATCTATTGCAGTCTTATGCACAATAGTACACTTTCACTATGTTTCGTGTGTTACTTTTGCATTGCTTTTTAAGATGATAATCCCAGTGCATAGAAGTCACCCTTATTGCTAAAATGTAGGCCCCACCTCATGTGGATTCTCACACATTTTATTTCAAGTTAAATCTCTCGAATGATTCCCACTGCAGTCAAACTGTTAATGGGCAACTGCTATCTGGCTACTTGCAATGAAAAACTTGCAAGGAGTAAAACAGAGCAGTAGATACATGAGGTCCTTTACAAGTATAATGTATGCCACACTTCATATGAGAACAAAACTTCATACCTGTTGCAAAAAAATCGGAAGCTGTTGTCTGGTGTACTCCTGTAACTGCGGATTGCCAGCAAAAATAGGGCTCTGAGACATAATCTGAGGAAGTAATTGGAAAGGTAATCTAAATCAGTGAAATTAAAACAAGTGAAAGAACATCCCATCCCCTTCTGACATCAAAAGGTAAAAAAAAAAAACTGTGAACAACTAGAACAGAAATGTTAAAAGAATCCTGTTGTCACTCAATTGCTTTTCATGAACACTTTGTGAAACACTTCATGCACATACTAATATAATCATATTTTGTTGACTCGTAACTATAGTTAGCAAGTCTCTTATGGTTACGCGGAAAATGTTGTATTTCATGACTCAAGAAATTACTCAATGTGTGTATTTATACATATATATTTTCTGTAAAATATACCTAAACCTGTGCAAAAACACCATTCTAAGCCATTTTGCCACATCAGGGCACCCAGTTTAAAGACTTTTAAAAAGAAAGAAAATAGGATATAACATGGCAATCAATTAACTGAACAGCAGGAAGTGAACTTGTGGAGAACTTTTGAAAGGAAGTCTAATTGCATGCAATTTCTTCTTTCAAATTTGCCTTATTTCATTTTTCCCAAAATATACATAACATCATTTCAAGACCACAAAAACAGTAAAAAATGAGTTTTTTCAAGAAAATAGGAGAAATAGGAATAAATACCAATAATAGGAAAATAGGAACTTGATGCAATGCCAACTATCAAAGCTTTTTTTAGGTCTTGATATTTAATTTTTCTTTGCACTGGGCAAAAAACCCAGCTTAATAAAGGTTGATTCAAATTGCAGAACTATTTTTGATTATCTGCACTCACTTGTGACGCCAATTCAGGGTTAGCAGAGAGATGCTGAAGCATGCTCTGCATATAAGGTGCCTGTAACATGTTTTGCATGAGCTGGGGATTCTGTGTCATTTGGCTCATCAGGCTCTGCATGCCAGGGGTATTAAATACTGGGTTTGATCCTAGAGCTGAAAATAACACTTCAGATGAAGAACATTTAAGGGACAATTTTTGCCAAGTAATACACACACACACACACATACACACACTTGTTCAATAACATAAAAACATCTCAAAATCTTAAAAACTCAGCAAAAGAAACACTTAAAGGTACTTCAGTCATATTTTGGGTCTTTAAGTTTTTCCCGTGAATAGACCTACTGCAAACTCATGACTTTTGTAAGTGACACAAAGCAAAACATCCATGACTAGTTTCTACTCACCATTTCCTGCTGTGGTACCTGTGGTAGTGGTGGTGCTACCAGTGGTGCCTATACTGGTGCTCCCTGGTGACTGTGGTACCCAGGGGTTAGGCAAGGGGTCTGTGTTTTCCTGTCCTTGCTGCTGTGTCCCACTACTCTCTTGACCTGCAAATGAATTTACAGTAACAAATAATCCCTGTGGTGGGGAGGGGGGGGGGGGAGGAGGAAGATTGGGTGCCCATCCCCAAAAACGATTTTAAATGATATGAAGTGGTATTTGATATGTAGAAAACATGTCAAAATGGCAAAAATAGTTACTGCGTAGTTGTAAGTAATCAAAAACATGATACTCATATTAGCAATCTGAGAAAGATCAAGGGCAAATCTGTTATTGTGTTTTCAAACAAGTCAAGGCTGTTACTTTGTTGTGTTGTTTTCCATCAGAAAAAGATTACAACATAAAAACTGTATTGAAGTAAATAAAGGAAATAAAGACAGACAGAGAGAAAAAAGAAAAGTATTTATGTTGTAAGTGGTATCTAAGAGACCATTCCCACAGACATTTAGATCGATCTATCCCCCTGGGGAGTCTCACTAGATTGCTGTCAGCTTAACCGGCTTAAATGTCTGTCCTGCCTACTAAAAGCTGTAAGGGGGTAATTAACTTTTGTGCGCGCTCGGCTCCCGGAAGCTGACAGCAATTTAGCGTGAAACCCCAGGGAGTTAGGTCAATCCAGATGGATTGTTCTAAATCTGTGGGAACCCAGTCTAATACATCACATACTTTGTCCAGAGAGTGCAGCAAAAGGGTTCCCCCTCCCCATGGACTGAGCAGCATTCAGCATGGGTTCTTGAATCTCTTGGTACATCCGCTGGAGTGCACCAAAACCGCCTGGAATGCTCTGACGTAACAAAAAGGCACATATTACTTATTATATTAAAAACTGCGTCACTAATTACTTTTTAAAAGCAGTAATTTCTCCTTTATGCAGTTAACTGCCTAGAATGCATCTTTTGATGTTATGTACCTGCATTCTTATTTCTATTTATAAAATAATACATAACAAGGAATATCCATTTTTTACACTCATTAATGCAAACACATTTTTTCTGTATGTCAATCAAAAATCCATCCATAAATCTTATGTGTGCACTTTTAGATGTGTTCTGAAATATTTTTATGGATGGGCACATGGTAATTTCTCTTCTGCTTTAATTCACAAATTAATCATTAATTTTCTTTGTTATCTTGGTTTGGTCAATATTGTCTATTTGGCTTAAAGGAATAACATCTGTTTGTTATGGTTAATGAATCCATTCCCACATCAAAGTTTGTCCAAGTTTTTTTTTCTTTTTTTTAACGATCTCTTAAGATTTTATTACTGAGGTATAGCCATCTATGAAGGTCCACGTAATCTGATGGCAAGCACAGATTCCAGAATAATTGCTAGTGCAACAAGTTTACTATAAGACCTACATGTTAAGAATTGTGGTTTAGCTAAGTTTCTAACACTCCCTTTGTAGAAATTGATACATATCTGTTGTTTTGTTTTTTATTTTGTTGTGAAGGTGATATAGCAAACTTGTTGCACTACCCCTTCCACTGCCTGAACTAAATTCTAAATAACCATTGCCACATAGACTTGCCCTTCAAGAAATCGACGGAAAATAGCTCTTTTTCAAATTTGAATGGGCACTGTAGAAAACATATAACAGCTAAAGCTCTCAAATTAAGCACATATGTGTGATATCATGTGAAGAATAAGTTCTGTAAATTTCAATCCAAGCAGTTGAGACAGAACGCTTTAAATGTGCAGCAAACCGTAACGCTAATCCCTTCAAGATCTCGACGAAAACCGGAAGTGCGTCATGATGTCACTCGTTTGTACTTGGAAAGCTGCTGGGTGATTTTCCGATGAGAAATATTTCGTGGCTTATACAAATGTTCGGAAAATGCCCATGCAGATAAAAGAAAATTCACTAATCAAAATTGAAACTGCGTAATTACATAGAAAAACATTGTGCATTTCTGACCTCGACTTGTCAGTGTAAACAAAGTGTACTGAACGCATTGCCAGCAAGCACGTGAATGCCGCGTTTGAAACTTTGTATCAGACGCTTCATTTTACTTGACAACACAGTTTTAACGATGGGCATGACAGGAAAAACAGTGCAAAAAACACGTACCTCCGGTTTTCGTCGATTTCTTGAAGGCGTCGATTTCTTGAAGGGCGAGTCTAGACGTAGTGATCCAAGGTTTTGATAAATAATAATAACAATAATAGTATTTTTTTTTCTTGTATAGTGCAGTCTACAATATGCACTTTAATGCACTTTGCACACAAATTCAGCTAACATTGCTTACTATGCATTTCAGGCTGTGAAGGTATTGTGAAAGAAGATCCCAATCTAATGCTTTGCCAGACTTACTTCTAAATTGCTCATAGCCCGGTCCTGCTGTCTCATTAGCTCCTGCATCATGGCAGGGTTCCTAGTCAACTGCATTGTCTGGAAAAGAAATGCAGTAATTTCTCACAGTCTATTTGAACATTTCATATTTGTTTAACCTGCAAAATAGAATATGATTTCTTTAAAAAAAAAAAAAAAAAAAAAAAAAAAAAAAACTAAGAACTGAAAAGTGAGTTCACCTAAGGTAAAAAGAATACAGCAGCTGAATCTTAAGTCCCTTTCCACAGCCAAAATAAGATTTCCTGGGGGAAGGGGGTAGAAGAAATTTTCTCGCACTCAAGAATCATTGCTCTACAATTCCCATATTTGAGATTTGGGGTTTTATTCCAATTTTAGTTTAATCATTTAGTTTTTAATGACTGGCCAGTAACATCAACTTGGCTTAATTTTCACTTCATAACACAATGGCAGTGTTTTGTATTGTGGCCCCACAGACATTGTGAGTCTACTTGAATAGGCTGAGAAGATAATAACAGCACCATAGATACTTCAGATAAACTTTTTTTCCAAGGGGCTTTATCATTTTTAAGGTCTATATTATAAAATATAAAAAGCTTTTTAAGTAAAATTTATTAATATGTCTGTGGGGAATTTTCAAACATGTTCAGAGTGCCTTTACATAGTTTGTAAATAAAATGAACCATGCTTTCCAGGGAAACTTGTGTCAAATGTTCATCACACATTGTTACCACTTCCACTTCTTGTTCATATGGAGCCAAGGCAAGTATTTCCTGTTTTAATAACATGTTTTGAGACTGCAAATCACTCCCTGCAGCTAATAAAACAGAAATTTCAGCCCACTAAATTATTTTTATTTTTTTTCATTGAAAAAAAAAAAAAAAAAAAACGTCAGCGAGTCTGTAAATAGTAAAAAGTAAAAGGGTAGTTTATTTGTAACAGTTCCACAGAAAAGAGGAAAAAAAAAAACAGATTACAGAGCTCTTAACAGTTACATACCTGTCTCATTAGTTCTGGATTATTCAACATATGAGTGATTTCAGGATTTCTCTGAAATTCAAAAACATTCCCTGGATAAGTAAAACATCCTGTGTCTTAGTTAAGACCTTAAGAGAGATAATTCCACATAATGTTGTTATGAACTTCTCTATACAGCAAAGAACGTGTATATTATCATAAACATCTACATCATTTACAAATACAACTGGCATGACATGGTAATGTAGATACACTACATATCATTAAAAAATTGTAAATTCTTATATAAGCTGAAATCATCAATGAAAAGCTTAGTGCCATCCAACTTTCAAAGAAAATTTAGGTGATTAACTACTAAACCTTGCTTGCTTTCTCTGATTAACCACTACATTTTCAGTCATTTAAAAATTTGATAAAATTCAACAACATACATTTTTTACTACTTGGTTTTAATATTTTTATTCCCTTTAGTTTAATATATCTTATTTAGCACACAAAATACATTTGTTTTTATGTTAAGTAACAGGCATTTTTAAAAGAATTTTATATGTTTCTTTTTTTTTTTTTTGGAAAAATCAGTTTCTTTTTGAGTGTCTTTTTAATCATTTGTTTAAAACCTTAACAATAATGAACAATAAGATTAACATCAGGTGGCCTTCCAGTGCCCAGTAGTCAGAGCCTTACCTCCATCAACTCTCTCATCTGTGGATTGCTTGTGATTAACTGCCTCATCACTTCTGGGTTGGACATCAATGACTGGACCATGGGATTGTTCATCATATTTTGCAATAACTCAGGGTTGCTCATTAACTGAAACGACATGGGAACTTAAAATTTTATAAAAGTATTGTCTTAGCATATATCCAAGTGGTTGGTGTCAGCGTCTTCAAACTACTGTTGTGGGTTTTTAAGCAAGAACGTTGTATTTGACTGGAAACGAAAATACAGAAATGTAACATCTCATAATCAGACATTTGGTAATACAAACAATTTTATCTCACCTCTCTTTGCATTCTCTGCTGCATGTCCATGAAGTTAGAGGAACCCATCCCTAGGCCTCCTAGACCAGGTAAACCTCCCATGCTTCCAAGGTTAAATGGTGTATTAGACACATTAGCTTGAGATGGGGTTGGAGCCTGAATCACAAAATTACACATTTATGCATTGATCTATCGCTTTTGTGAATAACAAGGCCTTCAAAAAGTTCAGACATTGCTAGCAGGGGTCTGGGGGCATTTATACAACAATCAAACACTAGGGTTAATCCAGAAATGGATCTAGACTTTGAATATGAAGTATAAGCTCCATTTGTTTGAACTGGCTTATTTAACAATTAGTAGACATGATTGATGGAATACCTTAAAATGACAAAACAGACAACATTTCTTCACATTGAACTGGTTTCACATAAGTTAATCTTATTTCAAGTATAATTCTACTACAGCTGAAATCAAACAAAGTTGTGTTCTGAGATTATTAAATTTTACTAGCCTTATTTCAAATAAAATAGTATTTTTTCAATTAACTAAAATTGTTGTTAAAAATCAGATATTTTGACAAAGGTATTTAATTTCAATTTTGTGTAGTAAGTGAAAAGCTCAAATCTATGATCATTAAATTAGACATTTATATTTTTAATACTTACTGCTTGGGCCCTCTCAGCTGCTTGCTCTTGTGACTATATGAAGAGAAAAAACCCACAGTTAAAACACATACAATGAGCATTTTTTTTTATTATTTCTAATCTGCTCCTATATATGGTTTAAAAAATTAAGGGAAATTAATTAACAGAAGTTGGTTGTAAAACATCTTGATAATATGGACACATTTTTGAGCTGATGCAGACATATTGTTAAGCTGATGCAAGCTAAATTTCAAAATACATTTATACACTTAGAACAAAAATGTCAATATTGAACTAAATGAACTAAGGGCAAAGTTCCAATTAATAAGCTCATTCACATTTCAACACAGAACATAACATAACATAACGCTAGTTGAAGGGCTGTACTTGGCAAGGATTGTTCTTGTTATCTAAAAGGGTCAATGACGTGTTTTAAAGGGAAAAGCAAATGTAGGGCATGATAATCCTGAACTGAAAGTATTTTCCAACCAAGCACTTCTAAAGTCAGCAGGTGTTCTGGGGAGTCAATACCAAATCAACACCTTCAAGAAGACAAATCTCAATAACAAAATGCCTGAACTGCGGATATCCTTTAGACAACTTGCCAAGCTGGCAAATAATATATCAAAATATACAAGATCTGAAAGTTAATGAGTTAACCTGTAACACAGCTACCTGCTAGATAAATTTCCAAACTCTATTCAATGAGTCAATTAACAATTGACAGTACTACAATATTATACGTTGAGACATTATGGAGAAAAAGCAATTTTAGATGTACTGAAAACCATTCAGCTTCTTAAACCCTTAAACCTGATATTTATTTCAATCCTCAACACTGGTCAAGATTGCATTTTTACACAAACAGAAGTCAAGAATTGCACTGAATGTGTTTTAGGACAAACGGAAGTAAGGAATTGGATTGGGAAGCCACTTGTCAGTCCTCAAGTTCAAACCCACTCCAATTTTATTACGAGTATACATATTTCTAATAATGAACAAAAATCTCCTTGAGATTTCTTTTGTCAAAAATTATTATTATTGGGTATCCAGGTGGTTTCTGTATCTTAAATTGCTTAACTTTGTATACTACACCTTTCCAAATTTCAATATAATACTTATGCTAGGTTGACTTCAGCATCAGTTGCTTTGGCTCCCCCTCAAGATATGATGACATGGACACATGCACACTTACAGTAGGTGATCACAATAATACATTGAAATGCACATATTATTATTTCATCCTTACATTTCAGTTTCATTTGAAAGAGGGATTTTCATTCTTGAATTAATTTCTCTTCCTACTGAATTTCTCACTATCTTTTTAAGTACTTAATACCTGCGTTCTAGTTTGTGGAGTTGCTTAACAACTTGTTGATTCTATTAAGAAGTTTGGCATTTTTTCTGTGATGCAGAGAAGCCTTGCAAAAGTGTCAGACAGTAGAGGTATGGATTATTGATCTCCGTGAAATAAAAAAGCCTGGCTTTGACTACCTGTTCCAAGCAAAATTTGTTCTAAATTGGCCATAAATCAAACATAATTGACAAATTTATATAATCTTTCTGAAGAAAGTGCAGATTCTAATGTTATTGTGCCAAGAATCTTGAAATATACTATTCTTTCAAGTCCACATACAATGCACGTGGCATCCAAACATGCTACTCAATCTCAATTTCTGTAACACAAGTTTTTAGAGTGACATGCTAGATACTCTCCCCCCACCCCCCAAAAATAAAAAATAAATAAATAAATAAAATAAATTAATTAACAAAATAATAAAATAAAATAAATAAAAATTAACTCAATGCCATTAAAGCATACCTTTTCAAATCTGAAGATCATGGCTTAAGATATCTTACTATATTGACAAATATTATCAGGTTTCTGTATATAATAAATCTGGAATTTTGGATGTTAGATAATAAAATACTTCTGTGATTGATACTCACCCTATTAGCTGATTTGATCACCAAATGCACTGTTAATCCATCCTTGATTCCATGCTGTTTTAGATTTTCTTCATCTTTAAGAATCTTCCCAGCAAATATCAAACATAATTGTTCTACTGGTGCACCAAATGCTTTTGAAATAGCTTCACGAAACTGTAAAAGAAGAATTATAAAATTCCAACACCATGCTTTTTAATCTTTAATTTAGCTTGACCAACTTTCATAAATATGATAAAGTGTAAAACCTTTCAAGCTTACATGGATTATTAAGCAGGAATTGCTGTACTCAAATGCGGTTGATCCGATAGCTGTGTTTAAGGTAATTGGTGTTCCATAGACTCCAAACTCAGTGTAGCATATCAAAAAGAGGCCCCTCCTTAGCAAATCGAGTCATAATTCATAGTAGAAAACGTGCCCAAGAGAACTATTTGGATGTGTTTGAGATAAGAACATGGGAGGTAAGGGATGCTATATGAAAGACTTCAATTTTACTAGAAATCAGATGGTCCTTATGGTCTTAATGAAACGTAATATTTGTCCTTTTTATGACCCAGTAATAAATACATTTAATATATTTCTTTCTTCCAAGCTCAGTAATTTCAATCCCATCAATCCAATCCATCATATCATTAGATTCTTCTTGTGGAAAAAAAATCAAAAGTTTTTACTTAAGATTGTCTTCGGAAACCTTTTCTGGGATAAAAAGGAGTAAAAATTAGCCTAATTTGACAGAGGGGTGAATCAGCATTTCATCCAGACACCGGTGTGAAAAAACTGGGGGGTCCGAGTCAGAGAGCCTGCCCTCCATTAGATACAGGTTAGGGTTGGCGCGGGTCAACATTTTAGTCGGGGTTAACCTGTACAAATCAACAGACACTGGACCTTTCATCACAGGGCCTCTCGAACTTGACGCCAGTGCACAACACTCCACAGTTCAGCAATTGTAAAGGAAATGCAATGCACTCAAACATCAAGGGAACCACATGGTCCTATATTTTTTATCTTTCAAGGCACATATCGGATTTTTCACAAGAAAGATAACTATGTACTTACCTCTTTTACCGACGCATCTGCTCCGATTTCAATATCTTTCTTTTCTTTTGGAGTTTTTACAGCGATATTAATTTTTGATCCCGAATCTTCGCTACTTTCCGCCATGTTGGCTAAATGAATTACGCAGACGTGAGAATTGAAGAGAATATTTTTGGCTTGGAATTGATAAATAAAAGACCACATTTCAACACACTTTAATGCAAAATGAACTATTTTTTGTGAAATATGTTAAATATATTAATGGAATTTGTATTAAGATTTCATTTAGCTTATATTCTCGTTTGAACGTGACGTATTTTAAACTCACGTGTAGCGCGCCATGTTTATTTTGATTTTTCAGCTGCTTGAGGATAGTGCAATGGCTTGGGGGCATGTAGTCATTGTGTGCGAGTGATTGATCCGTCCACTTCTCTCTTTGCTGATGATTCTTTCAACCTGGTCTTTAGTTCAACAGGACAACATTTTTTATTCAGGTTAATCGTATCACTTTATCATCACCGTAGGTACAGTAGGTTTGTGTGCCCCTTAGTGCCCTACGAGTCAAGAAGTTTACTTTTTAATGTCCAAAATTGCAAAGTGGGTCCTAAAGTTTGACGCTGATGTTAGAGACTTTAAATTTGGTATACAGATAGACAGGCTCCGTCAACGTCAAGGAGGCAGTGTTAGCGGTTCGTTCGTTAGTTTGCCTGTCTGTTACTGTGATAGCAACTTTGATGCAAAGCGTTTTAAATTAATTTTGATAAACTTTTCAAGTTAGGTCAGACATGGTTATGATTTTGGTGGTGATTCAAAATACCTTTTATACCTTTATATCAGTAAAACGCAACATGGTGCAGGCTTTGACGTACATCAGCAAGTATCAAATTTCATGTTTTAAAGTAGGGGTACAGCATGGTAGTTTCTATAGTTTCGCTACTGCTAATATTTGAACATGAAATAAAATTTTTCTAGTTGACACGCACACTATAACCGTGTGTGTGTGTGTGTGTGTGTGTGTGTGTGTGTGTGGTCATCTAAACTGATTTAATATTGTCAAAATATATAAAAAGTCTCTCTTCTTGTGCTCTCAGTAGCCTACTCCAGAATTTTTCTTAACTCCTTAGATTAATCTTAGCACACATTCTTTAAAACTTTAAGTATTTGATCATTAGTTTTTGATTGACACTTGTGAAAATTGAAGACTTTGTCTTCGTAGAATTTCGCAGTCAAAAAATGCAAGCATAGGCAGGTCATTTTGTATACAATTAACCTTACAATGATATTAAGTGGAAATTGTTATTTTTTCTTCAGTAAAAATTAACTGTAGCCATGAAGTGCATTTGCAGCAGTAAACTAATTAGCCTGCAGCATGCAATATCACAATGTTCACCTTTGTCTGTGTGGCCGAGGGTTCATTTGATGGCATACAGGGCATGCTCTTCTGGCCGGGATGCAGCAGAAAAAGATGAAGTGCGCTCTAATCCAATTGGAATTCAGATGTTATCCAAATCCTTACACCGACAAGTATTTAAAGAAGATGCAGATGGTCATTCCAAAGACCCGAGCACAAAAAATGAAAGACATTGAAAAGCATCTAAAAAGTCATGACCTGTGGGACAAAGAGACAACAGTGGTTCCAGAGGTGAATTTCGATTTACCTAAGCTTTATGGCAGTAACATTGATGAGCATTTCAAGATCATAGCTGAGAAACAATGTGCTGGATACAGGAAGAAAGCTGATATATTGACAACTGGTAGTTTACCATACAAACCACAGACTTGGGCTGAAACACAAGGTTGGACTAGGTATAATGCAGATGGTAGTACTACTCGAGTAGAATTTCCTGATGAAGACAGTCTGGTATTTGATGTGGAGGTTCTAGTTCCAGAAAGTGATATGCCAGTATTGGCTACAGCAGCTTCCCCAAACCATTGGTAGGTGCAATATGCATATGTACATGTACAAGACAAGTCATGTAATCCTAGATTTTTTTAAAGCATGAAAATTTCATATCTTGATTTTCTAGATGTTTAAGGAACTTCAATTGCTTGAGTACCATATCTTTATGTTGCCTAAAGCTGGGGTCGCGCCAGCGCTCGCCAAATTTGCCAAATGCGAAAATAAATTGATTTTGGCGAAGAAATTTGAAAAATGAGCATAGTAATTTTGCCATTTTGGCGAAAGCATATCTGGTCAAACCAGGTACGCAAACTTTCAATTACTGTTCGTCACAACTGTGAAAACGGCATTAACATGCACCCGATTATGTTTAGAATACAATCTAATTATAACAAGGTCAATTTACCATATAAAGAAATTGACCCATGACGCAATGCCGGTTTTACCCAATAGCGTTGCGCGTGTGATCGATTAGTTTCTTAAAGCGTGTTCAGCATCTGCTATGAATAATTATGACGGGTGCAGGATCTAAAGAAAAACTTTCCGACATGACAGTCTGTGAAATAAGCTTTTTAGAGTGGTTGTCCTATCGGACAACCATTTTAATTTTTTTGGTTGCCCCCATCCACTTTTGGTTGCCCAAATAAATCGAAGAAAAATATCACAAAACTTCCAAGATCCCTTTTTATTTCAGCGGGGTGAAGGCTAACATGCGCTGTGTAGCTTTAAACAGATTAACTTATGCAAATAAACAGATGATGAGCAGTTTAATGTTAAAGAACCTCAACAGCAACAATGCAGCATTTGGTTACGTCTTCCTTCCCACAAACAATTATTTTAAGAACATCTATACATCATCATACATATTGTACAAACACTAAAATATTTTCTAGTAAAAGAAGGCATTCCAGGTCAAGATTTAAAGACAAGCCAAAATCATAAATGAAGAATATTTTTCAATATATTTACTGCTAGCTAAGTGTAATAGCATTCTCCATTTCTCTGCCTCTTAGTCTATTAACTTAGTTTCAAATGTGGACACATTAATTTATTATATATACAATTATCATAATAAACAATTAAAATGCTGCATTTTCTGCCATATCCATCTCATTTACTTCATCACATTCATCTTCACCATTGTAATAATTATATAGGAAGTACAAGACATGTTGGACAGCATGGACAGACAGGGTGATCAGAATATAGAGTGTCTGCATATAAAAAGGAATGTCACTGTTTTAAACATAATGAAATGTCTGGTTCAGACTAGTCTCTGAAGGACAAAAAAAAAAAAAAAAAATAATAATAAATAAATAAAAACACTATGTTTTCTTCCATCTTCATAGATCTCATCTATTTCATCAAATTCATCTTCATCATTCCCCATTGAAGAAACCAAGGAATCTGTAACTACCTCTTGCTAGAAAAGACAAGTAAATAATTCAATACAAAATATCATACAGTGCCATAAAAATGAAAAAAAAAATGGAAGACTAATTCTTCTTTCTAGAAAAAGTGCTTGTCTAAAAACAAATCAATCGTCATCAGAATTTCAATTTTATCTTTTATTTAAAAGAAGTTAAAATACTTACACGCAGAAAACAAGAACAAGTACAAATTAAAAAAAAATCAAGAAAATTTGAACTTACATTTTCTCATTAAAACTCCTAGATTCTGCCTTCTGCAGCCGATGCAAGCAGTCCGCCGCGACACTTTGATTAGCAGCACTCGCGCCGTCGCTTTGACGTGCGGCTCTGAGGACTTGTGCTTCTTAATGCCATCTTACTGTAGTGAGGTTTTGCCTTGAACGAAAGGTGAAGAATCTCCTTGACAGCATGCTTTGCACGCTGAGCTATGCTGTCAAAAACAAGCCAAGTGCGCCGTGACGGTAGAAATCCTCTTCGGCGTATATCTGTTTAACTTCGTATAATTTCTTTTTCTTTGACATTTCTGGCTCAGCTGTTTGTTAGGATAACCTTTATCCGGGGTTTGCACCGTCAAAATATTTCAGAAACTTCTCCATGACGAAAGTTGGATAGAGAGACACGCGGTATATAGAAGAGCCATAATTTTGAAGTAATGTCCGCCATTGTTTCATTTCGACCAATGAAAAAGCGGCAAACATGACACCCCCCTCCCCACTCCCCGGGCATTACGTCATCTTCCTGTCTAAACGACCAGCTACTGGCAGTGCTATAAATAACTGTAGATCTAATAATAGTAACAGAGATTCTGCACAAACAAGGCGAAGTCAGCAGGTCGGTTACTGCGACAGTGAATCTTGTGGAAAACATAACGATTTAGGTTAACCTAAAATTTTGTTTTCTGTGTAGATTTTGACATAGATATACTCTTTACTCAGTATGTCCATAAATTATTCAGTTGCCCGACCGGACAACAACTTCGTAATTTTAAGTTGCCCGACGTGCTTTTTAGTTGTCCCGGGCAATCGGACAACCGCTTATTTCGCAGACTGACATGAAGAAGATATCACTATCTTTTCATTAAAGTACAGAAGGAAATGAGAAACTTTGTTGTGTAGGGGTGTGACAGGTCAAAGGTTTATTTGAAGAAGCCAGTGAGGACCTTCTCACAGCACAAACTCCCGGAGACGACACATGAAAAAGATGGTATGTACCGTGCAATCTTGTGAAAAGTAATTGAAATTTCAGAGTATTACATATTTAAAACATATCGCTATGTATCTTGAACTTTCCCTTGTTGACATAACTACTGTAACAAGCGATTCCAGTCCCACAACTGAATAATCAATACTAGAAGGGGCCAGTATCTCTGACGTATCCACCAACGAGACCTTGGCAATCTGAAAGAATTCTTTTAAACTTTGCAATACATAAAAATGAATATTGCCCCTTATTTATTTGACATATTTGTTAATGTTTAATACCTTCTCACTGTCACTGACTTTCAATGACCTGTCATTTTTTCAGTTTCAGTTGACCTGTCTGCAGACAGTGTTGAGCCATTCAAATGTATTAGTTCAGCAGCAACAGAAATGACATTAATGCGGACCCACATATCTTACATACAAACCGAAGAGGATGGGATCCAAACCATTTTAGAAACATCAATTTTGAACACTTGCCTCATTTATTTTTATGTACAGACACAGATGTGTCTGTACATATAGCTGTCATCTGCGTCTGCCGTTGCCGTCTTCGCCGTCGCCGTGCACTTTTACCGATAACACGATAAGTGGAAAACGGTTTTTTCTTTTGGCTTGAAACTTACAGAACTGATGAATATTCGTAATACGCAGGTCAAGTTCGAAAATCAGCATGATCGGGTC